AAAAAAAAAAAAAAAAAAAAAAAAAGAAAGAAATTTTCTCTGTGATACTGTGGTTATTCCTCCCCCCACCAAAATCATAGATACTAAGTGCAGACTTGCTTTTCATTTTCTGTGTACTTGGTAGGTTTCCAGAAATTATTTCTGTAGCAGTTATTAACTTTATCCTTAATTGTGAATATTTTGGCTAGGTCATTTTCATAATGTAAGAAAGGAAAGGAGTGTTTTTTAAAACAAGCTAGAATTTTTGTTGCTTCAGTAAAAATGAATGTTTAGCAGCATTGTTTATAGTTCTTTTTTTTTTTTTTATTTCCCGAGGGAGGGTCTCACTCTGTCTCCCAGGTTGGAGTGCAGTGGCATGATCATGGCTCGCTGCAGCCTCTGCCTTCCAGGCTCAAGCGGTTCTCCTGCCTCAGCCTCCCAAGTAGCTGGGACCACAGGTGCACACCACCATACTTGGCTAATTTTTGTATTTTTTGTAGAGACAGTGTTTTGCATGGTTGCGCAGGCTGGTCTTGAACACCCGCCTACCTTGGCCTCCCAAGTGCTGGGATTACACGTATGAGCCACCACACCTGGCCACATTGTTTATATTCTTTGTTCTGTAAAGGTGGCATTTTTTAAAATGACCTAAGATTTTGTTTCTCTCTCTCTCTTCCCTTTCCCTTACCATTTCTTTCTCTCTCTCTTTTTCTTTCTTTTTCTTTCTCTGTCTCTCTCTTTCTTTCTTTCTTTTTCTCCCTTTCTTCCCTTTCTTTCCTTTCTTTTGGTGGAGACAGTTTCCCACCATGTTACCTAGGCTGGTCTCAAATCCCTGGCCTCAGCAATTCTCCTGCCTGGGCCTCTCAAAGTACTGGGACTATAGGAATGAGCCACTGCACATGGCACTGGATCCAGATTTTTTCTTTTTTTAAATTTTGAGACAGAGTCTCACTCTGCACCAGGATGGAATGCAGTGGTGTGGTCATGGCTCACTGAAGCCTCAACCTCCCTGGCTCAAGCGATCCTCCTACCTCAGTCTCACAGGTAGCTAGGACTACCGGTACGTACCACCGTGTCTAGTTTGTTTTTTGACTTTTTGTCAAGACAAGGTCTCTCTATGTTGTCCAGGCTGGTCTCAAACTCCTGGACTCAAGACTCAAGTGATCCTCCTACCTCCGCCCCCTGAAGTTGGGATTATAGGTATGAGCCACTGTGCCTGGCCCTGGACCCATATTTTTATGTGCAATCTTCTTGTGTTTACATGTTAGTCTTAATACATTGCAAGCAGTCTTGACCAACAGGGAACCAGTTTGTGACTACTGTATTTTAAAGAGACTCTTTTCAGTTATATTATAATTATGATGACCTGGTACTTCTAAGTAATTTTAAACACGTAAACCCTTAAGAACAACATGAAAGAAAGAAAAGCCTTTCCCATGTCTGTCATCTAATTTTCTTTTTTTTTTTTTCTTTGAGACGGAGTCTTGCTGTCTCCAGGCTGGAGTGCAGTGGCGCAATCTCAGCTCACTGCGACCTCCACCTCCTGGGTTCAAGCGATTCTTCCGCCTCAGCCTCCTGAGTAGCTGGGACCACAGGCACATGCCACCACGCCCGGCATGGTATTTTTAGTAGCATGATATTTTGTATTTTTAGTAGAGATGGGGTTTCACCATGTTGACCAGGATGGTCTTGATCTCTTGACGTCGTGATCTGCCTGCCTCGGCCTCCCAAAGTGCTGGGATTACAGGCGTGAGCCACCGTGCCCGACCTGTCATCTAATTTTCTAATAACTTCTTTGGTTACTGGCTTCTCTGTAAAAGCATGAGATTTGTTTAGGGAAATGTGAGATATGTATTTTAAATATTTTAGTTAAATTAGCAATAGCATTTTATCTATATTCCTATAAAATTCCAATTAACTTGTTTCTATTTAGGTACATTAGTGAATTGGAATACTCATCTTTTGTATATGTATATGGTACCTTCTATGTTCTTTAATGTTCCCGATGAAAACTGCTACTCCTATAAGTAGTAGTATTTTTTAATAATCAATTTGTGTCTTATTTCTTTTCTTAAATAATTTTTTTCTACTTTTTATAGTGCTTTTTAAAATGCAGAAAAATGAAAAGTAGTGAAATGATCACTTACATACCCACTACCTATATTTGGCTGTTAACATTTTGCCGTATTTTATGGTTGAGTGAGTGATTTACTTAATCATTTGAAAAGTAAGTTGCAATAGTGCATGCACCTCCTAAAAATAAAAAGTTCTGTCTAGTAATCAGAATGCCATCTTATAAATTTGTATGTAAATATGAATATATATGTATATACGTAGGTTTATATGCTACGTGTGCTCTGCAACAGTGCTAAGGTGTACCCAGGAGATGCTAATGAATAAGACAATAATTTTCTTTTTTTTTTTTTTTTTTTTTTTTTTTTGAGATGGAGCTTCGCTCTTGTTACCCAGGCTGGAGTGCAATGGCATGATCTCGGCTCACCGCAGCCTCCGCCTCCTGGGTTCAGGCAATTCTCCTGCCTCAACCTCCTGAGTCGCTGGGATTACAGGCACGCACCACCATGCCCAGCTAATGTTTTTTGTATTTTTAGTAGAGACGGGGTTTCACCATGTTGACCAGGATGGTCTCGATCTCTTGACCTCGTGATCCACCCGCCTCGGCCTCCCAAAGTGCTGGGATTACAGGCTTGAGCCACCGCGCCCGGCCAAGACAATAATTTTCAAAACCCTGTGTCTTTTGTTGATTGTTTGCTACACAAAATTAAGGCTACATTGGATCTAGGTCAGAGCAGCTGTGATCTTTATTGCTATAATTCCTGGACAATACCCATTTTGAAAAGTTTGCTTTCACAAGACTTTCACAGATAAACCTAGTTGAGATTGGACTCTCCTAAACTCCTAGCCTGAAACTACAAGCAGTGCCTTTATTAGCCTGGGGGACCAGATGCTAATGGACTTAAGTCCCTCTTGGATCTCCAGGTAAATACCAGGGCGTTTACCTAGCTAAGCAAAGGCCCAGAGAGATGGCAAGCTTTAGCATTCTAGTAGAAGGTCTGGATATTTGGTGTCATTTGTTAATGTGTACCTATTACCCATTTTAGTAAGTTACTTAAAACTACAGAGAAAACCTAATGTGGAATAAATAGTCTAGCTAATCTTAAAATTTTCAGAATTTTAGTGGAATGTCTTTTCCATTTAGCAAGTTTTTGCATACCAATGCCAATACAGGTATTGATCGACTTAACGACCTTTGCAACTTACAACCATTCAACTTTATGAACGCAATCGCTAGCCACGACTGCTCCGCGTCTGGCAGCACAAACGTTGCCCAGCTGGGCATACGACAGTGCGGACCAGCTTCCAGCAGCACTACCATCTCCGTGTGCATATAGCCTACTCAACTTACAACCAAATTGTGTTACGACCGGTCTGTCGGAACCAATCGTGGTCGTAAGTCGAGCACTAGCTGTAATGATATGCTATTTTACCTGTCTGTGTGAGTACAGAATACAAAGGTGGATGTTATGTCATTGTTAACTAGAACATTATTGGGATTTTCCCACATTCACCCTAGAGCAGTTATAAAAAATATATACATTTAATTACATTTTTACTTTACTGTGAAAGATTTCCAATATTATGATTGCCTTCCTTTTTACTCCCCTTTTAAAATACGTTATTTTCCTGTATTGCAGATTTTTATTCTTAGGTACATTGACTGAAGTTTAATGAGAAGAACTGTGACCAGCTAGGAGAATTACTGCAAGGAATGGAATTAGCTCATAGCTTATTGCTGAATGAAGAAGCATACAATCAACTAGGTGAAGTTCAGAAGGCCGAGTTTATTTTTGAGTGGTTGAGCTATTTGGAGAAGCTGTTGTTAGCAACCAGCAGGGTGGGTAAAATGACAACATCTGTTTTTTTGTTTAAATGCCCATGTTTATTTACTTCCTTTGGTTTGCTTTTCTAGATTTTTCCAAAATAACCTAATTTAACTTAATTGTTAAAACTTAATGAAACATAGTACCTTTTCTGTTCCTTCATTCAGAATTTTTACTATTAAGGGCTGGGCACGGTGGCTCACGCCTATAATCCCAGCACTTTGGGAGGCCAAGGCGGGTGGATCACAAGATCAAGAGATCAAGACCAACCTGGTCAACATGGTGCAACCCCGTCTCTACTAAAAATACAAAAATTAGCTGGGCATGGTGGGTGGTACATGCCTGTAGTCCCAGCTACTCGGGAGGCTGAGGCAGGAGAATTGCCTGAACCCAGGAGGTGGAGGTTGTGTGAGCTGAGATCGCGCCATTGCACTCCAGCCTGGGTAACGAGAGCGAAATTCCGTCTCAAAAAAAAAAAAAAAAGAATTTTTACTGTTATAAGAAGTTTTCGCTATTCAGAAAAGCAGAAAAATTAGCTAATATTTTTGGTATTACTTTTAAAATATATGAAACAACAACTACTTTTTATTATACTTTGTTTCTTTTATTCTCTGCATCTGTGTTCCTCCGTGTACATAAAGCCCTGGTATAGTATAGTGCTAAACAATGTAGTGGGAGTTTTACTTTAAAAAGGTATGAAGACTTAAGGTGTATGAATTCAAGAGTGTGTGGTTAAACAGATTCTCTCTTAAAAGCTTATGACATGAGTAGAAAAAAGGAAAACCGATCTTTCATGCCCTTCACCTACATTCAGCAATTAACATTTTCCCATGTTTGGTTGATTAATTTACTAAGCCATTGAGGTGGTACTTTACTGCTAGCATACATCTCCTAAAAATATGAACTTTTTTTTACATAATCACAGTACTTTATGCAATGCAGAAGTGGTACAAAAACACTATTCATGGAGACATTTAGAATTTAACAAAAGACATTTTATTTGTGAATTTAAAATAATAGCATTCTAAACACATTCTTGTTCTAAGACAACAGGGAGCTATGTGACTCTAGTTATCAAATATTTGACAAGTTTGCTGATCTTTAAGAGAGAAAGAAATAAAAGCAACTTCTAGATGTGTGGAAAAAAATTAACAAAAGACAAATTTCTGTATACTAACAAATATTTTATTGTGGTAGGCCTCAGTCAGCACCTGAATACCATTAGCTTTGTAATGATACTGTGTACTCCTTATTCAGATAGCAAACAAGGAAAATGAAATAACATTATTAACATTTATACACATAAGCTTGCAAAAAGAAAATTGCATTACACTTAGGAACAGATCTGAATAAAACAGGTAACCATTACAAGGTCAGCTCTGGTTATAGATATAGATACTGCTTTATGCAGATATATATGGGGGAGATGTAGGCTTAATAACTCCAATTCTGTAGTTGAAAATACAGATTTGGGCATGCTGATGCATGTTGGTAGACCCAGTTACTTGGTAGGCTGAGACAGGAGGATTGCTTGAGCTCAGGAATTTGAGACTATAGTAAGTGCAGCACTATGATCACTCCTGTGAATAGCCATTGCACTCTAGCCCAGGGAACATGGTGCAACCTTTTGTATTAGTCTGTTCTCACACTGCTGTAAACAACTACCTGAGACTGGGTAATTTATGAAGAAAAGAGGTTTAATTAATGTACAGTTATGCAAGCTTAATAGGAAGCATGACTGGGAGGCCTCAGGAAACTTACAATCATGAGAGAAGGCGAAGGGAGAGTGAGAACCTTCTTCACATGGTGGCAGGAAGGGTTTGGGGGAAGTGTCACACACTTTTAAAGCATCTTATCCTGTGAGAACTTACTATCACAAGAACAGTATGGGGGAAATCCACCCCCATGATTCTTTCACCTCCTAGCAGGCCCTCCCCTGACACATGGGAATTACAATTCAACATGAGATTTGGGTGGGGACACAGAGCCAAACCATATCACCTTGTCTCTATTAAAAATAATACAAATTTCCTCTGCCTTTCAAACAAAAGTAGAAAGATTTAGAATTAATAGAGCCTTTATATTTGTTAACAGATATTATAGTATAATGTGGTTCAGAATTTTTAGAGGGATTTTTGGAGTTATTAGCAGGGCAACAAACTACCTGTTAGTCTGTCATAATGACCATGCTGCCAACTTATTTGTAACTTATAGTCAAAATGAATTTGTATTTTTCTTTTTCTTTTTTTTTTTTTTTTTTTTTGAGATGGAGTTTTGCACTTGTTACCTAGGCTGGAGTGCAATGGCGCGATCTCGGCTCACCACAACCTCCGCCTCCTGGGTTCAGGCAATTCTCCTGCCTCAGCCTCCTGAGTAGCTGGGATTACAGGCACACACCACCATGCCCAGCTAATTTTTTGTATTTTTAGTAGAGACTGGGCTTCATCATGTTGACCAGGATGGTCTCAATCTCTTGACCTTGTGATCCACCCGCCTCGGCCTCCCAAAGTGCTGGATGACCGATATGAGCCACCGCACCTGGCAAATTTGTATTTTTCAAGGGCCTTTTTAGTTCTTAAATATATGAAAGAGAAATTATATTAGAGGATCACATATAATTATATTGACTTTGAATTGTCTTTGTGTTATCTTTTCTAGAATGATGTAAAGGAGAAACAGAAGACTCTTGTTGAACAACTCCTCTCCTTGTTGAATAGCTCCCCAGGGCCGCCTACCCGCAAACTCCTTGCTAAGAATCTAGCCATTCTTTATAGTATTGGAGACACATTCTCTGTTTACGAGACAATCGATAAATGTAATGATCTTATTCGTAGCAAAGATGATTCTCCAAGTTATCTTCCCACTAAGCTGTAAGTGAAACATTAAAACAGAACAGAAAACAAAATATTACTTCCTGTTGTATCATTTTTGTGAAGTACCCATGGTACTTGACAATTTCTTTGAAACTGAATGCAAACTCAGTTTTACCCATTTTTAAAATATAACTTAAAGAAACTAACACTTTTCATATTGATTGCTGAGAAACAATTCTTCTACAAATACTTTAGACATATTTGAAGTCTAGATTTGAGATTCAAAACATCTTCCTAAAATTTTAGTAGTTGAGTATTTAAGAAAGATATTTTAAATTCTTCACGTTTTTGGATGCTTTTACAATTTATTCATTCTTAATCATAAAAATTGATAATAAATTTCATGTAGAAAAGTATTCTTCTAAGATCCTAGAAAGAACAGCTTAGTTTCTTTCTCTGTAGGATTTGGTTCATTTTATTACCTGTTATTTTTACAAAGGCAATGAGCCATATAGTATTTCTTTTTTTCTTCTGAGACAGAATCTCATTGTGTTGCCCAGGCTGGAGTGGCAGTAGCATGATCTTGGCTCACTGCAACCTCCGTCTCCTGGGTTCAAGCGATCCTCCTGTCTTAGCCTCCTGAGGAGCTGGGACTACAGGTGCATGCCACCACTTCAAGCTAATTTTTGTATTTTTAGTAGATACAGGGTTTCACCATGTTGGCCAGGCTGGTCTCAAACTCCCAACCTCAAGTGAGCCACCTGCCTTGGCCTCCCGAAGTGCTAGGATTACAGGCGTGAGCCAAATTGCCTGGCCACCATGTCATAATTCTATAGTTTCTGTTGGTCTAATTTTTACCTTATAACAATAACAGAATGTATTCCCCCATAATGTTTTCAGATTTCAAACTTGATAAGAACATTATATATTGTTTTTATTTTTATCTTTAAGCTTATCTTTTGATTAATATATGTAGCTTAGTTCTGTTGAAATATTTTGCAGAATTTTGTTTTGTAACAAATTTGAGGGTGTGGAATCTTTGGGCTGAGTAGTAGAGTAATCACAGATTGATACATCCTTATTATTGAAAGTATAATTATTTCATGTTCCTGTTAAGTGTCATGCCTTAGGATTTAACCACAGAATAGATTCTTGGAAATTTTATCCTTTCAAAGTAAAATTTAAAATAGTCACTTTTCAACAAATGATGCCGGTATAACTATATGTCCACATACAAAAGAATGAATTTTGACCCTTCTATCATACCATATGGAAAAAATTAACTCAAAATTGATCATAGATGTAAGTGTAACTGCTACAACTATAAAACTCATAAGAAAAAACATGGGGGTAAATCTTTTTGGCCTTGGCTTAGGCAGCGTTTCTTAGATAAAGCACCAAAAAGCAGAACTGACAAAAAATAAACGAGACTTCATTACAGCTAAAAATGTTGTGTTTCAAAGGATAATACAAAGAAAATGAAAAGACAACCAAGAGAATGGGGGAAATTTTTCAATAGTTATCCTTGTTCTAATGTTTTTTTATTCCTATTTTTTCAGCTGTGACTAACTTAAAATTTAAATGTTGTTTCAGTGCTGCTGTGGTATGTTTGGGTTCCTTGTACAAGAAATTGGGTAGAATACTGGGTAACACCTTTACTGATACGGTGGGGAATATTCTTAAAGCTATGAAGAGTGCAGAGGTAAGTAACTACAAGTTCAGCCAAAGAATGAAAAGACAGCATTTTATTGGTTTATGCTTTCCTGAGCAATTAAAAGAGCTTTACATATAACAGACATGCATAGATATGTATGTAAATATACCTGTAAATTAAATGTTTCTAGGTGATACACAGTATGTACTCTGTATATTTAATTCCTGTTAGAAAAATAGTAATGCAGTAGATTTTCATGTATTCATATAAACCCAAGCGGGCGAAAACTAAGGTATTCCACTGATAGGCCCATCCCTGCACTATTCTCTTACTCCGCCTTTTCTATCTGATAGTACTTACTGGCATTCTCTTACTCCATCTCTTCTGTCTGATGGTACTTACTGGCGTCACCACAAGAGCTTGTCACTGGGGACTACATAGTTGATAAACACTGTTTACCTTATGGATAGATGAGTTACTGTACTAGCATCCGAAGGTAGTAAGGAATATAATCCGAGGGGAAAGGGTGTGGAGGATGACCTCCAGATGACCTTTTAATTGCCAACAGAGTGTATTTTTAACCGTGTCTTCCTCATTTAAATATTTGTGTCATTTACTACTCTGGAACACCTTTTGTTTTTGAGAATATCTCTTCATTTGACTTCTAAGATACTAAGATACTATAATCTCTTGCCATCTGTAGTTTTACTGGTGTTGAAATTAAAGCATTTACTGTATATGTTTGTTTAGCAAAAGGTTTAATTCTGTGGTCCCAGTATATAAGGACAACTTCGCACCTTTATATGTAAAGACATGGACATGGCAGTTTGCACCTGTAATCTCATCTACTTGGGAGGCTGAGACAGGAGGATCACTTAAAGCCAGGAGTTTGAGACCACCCTGGGCAACATTGGACGACCCTGTCTCTACAAAACACAAATTAGTTGGTGTATGGTAGTGAGCACCTATAGTCCTAGCCCCTCAGAAGACTGAGGTGGGAGGATCACTTTAGCTCAGGAGTTCAAGGCTGCCGTGAGCTATGGTCATGCCACTGCACTCCATTCTGGGTGACAGAGCAAGACCCTATTGCTTAAAAAATACGCATTAAAAAAAAAAATCTAAAAACATCACACTGGTTACTCTTGTTACTTTATTTACAAAAATCATCTAGAAAACAGCTCTGAAGTAATTTATAGAAATGTTGGTTGGACAGTCACACATTTTTTTAAAATGTAACAAGGCAAAACATGGGAAAATTCCAATAAAAAATAGGTTAAATTTTAAGAAGGATGTAGCTGATTCAAGAACTTTCAGAAGTGAAGACTAATGTAAAACTGGTGAGAAAATTTGCTCATCAGATCATTTCTCAGCAATAGTTTCCCAAAAGACTGAAGAAAATGATTAAGGAGATTTTTAACACCTATAAATCTGGTTTTATTTAAAAGCAGATAGTAAGACATTTTATTTATTGAGATATATCCATTTTAAATTTTCTTCCTCCTTGCTGGGTGCGGTGGCTCACGCCTCTAATCCCAGCTACTCAAGAGGCAGCTGGGGCAGGAAAATTGCTTGAACCCAGTGAACTGAGATCATCGCGCCAGTGTACTCCAGTCTGGGTGACAAGAGTGAGACTCGGACTCAAAAAAAAAAAAAAAATTATCTTCCTCCTAATTCCACTGGTTAAGTTTTAACACTCTTTAGACTCCGTGGTTAATAGAGGATTACTGTATAGTTATAAAAATGTTTTATTGATAAGTATTTTGTTGCTTCCCTATTTTTAAAATTTTTTTAAGTAACATCCTTGAGCCATATCCCCTACTTTTGATCTTTGATTTAGTTGATCAGGTATCACAGCATTTTAGAGAGATTCACACCCACCAGTGATACACAACATTTGAAACTGGAATAAAAGTTAAGTTCAGAAGTTTCTTGTTAGCACCATTTTATTATGTTCACCTATGACTTTTAAGTGCCTTTTAATGGTATTACTATGAAATGATTCTTGACGCTGATCTTTGTCTTCCTCCAACTTTATCTACCTTCAGTGGCCATAACTTCCTGGGATATAAATATGATTTGGGGCATTTAGTAAAACATTAATAAAATAAGCAGCTCCTATTTCTTTCTTTTTTCTCTCTCTCTTTTTGAGACAGGGTCTGGTACTGTCACCCAGGCTGAAGTTCATTGGTACAATCTGAACTCACTGCACCCTCTGCCTCCCGCTGCATCCTCTGTGTCCCAGGCTCAAGCCATCCTCCCACCTCAGCCTCCCAAGTTACTATGACTAGAGGTGTACACCACTACGCCTGGCTAAAATTTGTATTTTTTGTAGAGTTAGGGTTTTACCATGTTTCTCAGGCTGGTCATGAAGTCCTGAGCTCAAGCAGTCAGCCCATCTTGGCCTCCCAAAGTGCTGAGATTACAGGTGTGAGCCACTGTGCCCAGCTAAGCAGCTGCAATTTTTTGAGTGTTTACTGTGTGCTATGCACTGTGGTGAATGTTTACCCATGAGGTTCATCTTACCCTCATTTTATAGATGAGGAAGTAAGTAAGAACAATTTAAAGTCACCAAGTTACTGAGGGTCACAGAGAAGTTCAAACCTAGGTTTTTAAAAATTCAAATTCCAAGACTTTTAAATTGTGAGTTAAACTATTCCAACCAAAAAATGATAACAAAATAACATCGCTACCAAATCTATTGAGCATCTGTTGTATGTCTGGGGTTGTTGTAAGCACTTTGCATGTATAACTCATTGATTCCTTAGAACAGCCTACAAGGTAGGCACTATTACCTCTATTTTTTTAATGAAGAAACAGATTTGCCCAAGGTCCTATCTGGTAAATTCTAGTAAACGGCAGAAATGACAGACCCTGCCTTTTTTTTTTTTTTTTTTTTTTTTTTTAATTGAGACAGAGTCTCACTCTGTCGCCCAGGCTGGAGTGTAGTGGTGTGATCTCAGCTCACTGCAACCTCCGCCTCCTGGGTTCAAGCAATTCTCCTGCCTCAGCCTCCCCAGTAGCTAGGACTACAGGCACGTGTTATGATGCCCAGTTAATTTTTTGTATTTTTAGTAGAGACGGGGTTTCACCAAGTTAGCCAGGATGGTCTTAATCTCCTGACCTCGTGATCCTCCAGCCTCAGCCTTCCAAAGTGCTGGGATTACAGGAGTGAGCCAATGTGCCTAGTCTGAGACCCTGCATTTTTAATGCAGCTATAGCAGCTATTTATTGAATGCTTAATGGCACGCAAGCTTTGTGCTAGGCACTTTTCATATAATTTTGTTTAATCTTCACATCAATCCTGTGAAATTTGTATCATGTTGAAATTCAGTGGTGTATACAAGTAGCTTTTCAAATAATACTTTATAAAATAGTAATTACTGTTTCTTGATGTCAGAATGAGTTGGTTAGTATGTACAAAATCTGTATTCAGCATGAGAGACAAATATCAATGTTTAATCCTGTTCTTTGCAGTGAAATTATTTTTTCTGTTTAATTTTTTTTTCATTTTGGTAGTCTCAAGGTCGATATGAGATTATGCTAAGTCTGCAAAATATATTAAATGGACTGGGAGCTGCCGCTGCACCTTGTCACAGGGATATTTATAAAGCTGCTAGATCCTGCTTAACAGATAGATCTATGGCTGTTCGTTGTGCTGCTGCAAAGGTAAGATGATCTAATAAGACTTGTAAAATTAATTTAAAGAAAATTAAATCAGATTATCTTTGTGAAAGCATTAGTAAAAGCTACATGATCTTGGTAGTTAGCCAGGATACGAAGTTCAGGTTTCCAGAATCTTAAGTATTGATTACTCTGCTATGTTTTCTCTCCCTAATTGTGTAAATTAAAATTTACATGTGTGGTTTATGTTGTTTTAAAGTGATTTTTTGTTTTATTTTTTATTTTATGTATATATATATATATTTTTGAGATGGAGTTTCATACTGTCACCTAGGCTGGAGTGCAATAGCATGTTCTGGGCTCACTACAACCTCCGCCTCCCAGATTCATGCAATTCTCCTGCCTCCCAAGTAGCTGGGATTACAGGTGCACACCACCACACCCAGCTAATTTTTTGTATTTTTAGTTGAGATGAGGTTTCACTGTGTTGGCCAGACAGATCTTGAACTCCTAACCTCATGATCCTGCAGCCTCAGCCTCCCAAAATGCTGGGATTACAGGCATGAGCCACCATGCCAGGCCTATTTTACTTTTAATTTATACCCTCTTAACATAGTTGCTTAGAAAATACAGAGAAGTTTTTTAATGTTAGAATTATTCTCCCAGTTGTTCATAGCCAATGCATTGATTCTAAAGGCATTTTTCATAACCTATGGAGTTAGAAGTGGGTCCTCCTCCCACCTTTTGTAAGTTCATTCTCTTCTGTAATATAATCTTTATGACTTTTAATAAGTATTAATTTGTTCCTATAATCATAATAGGTATTTTGAATTTGTGTATTATTTTGTTAGACCCTGATAGTTTCTGCAACTTATATAGCTCTGAATCTGACATTTGTATTTTATTTTTCATTAATTTCTGTTTGTCCAATTGAATAGTGTCTCCTTGAACTTCAGAATGAAGCCATCTTTATGTGGAGTACGGACCTGGACAGTGTGGCTACACTGTGTTTTAAATCCTTTGAAGGTTCCAATTATGATGTGCGGATTTCTGTTTCGAAGCTACTAGGCACAATATTAGCTAAAGCTACAATTTCTAAACATCCAGGAACAGGTAAATACATGTAATTATTTTCAGACTATCTTCTGTAATTTTTTTTCCCAGTTGTTATAAACAAGTATATATAGTGCTACTCATTATAAATCAATTTTAGGCCGGGCATGGTGGCTCATGCCCGTAATCCCAGCACTTTGGGAGGACAAGATGGGTGGATTACCTGAGGTCAGGAGTTTGAGACCAGTCTGGCCAACATGGTGAGACTCGTCTCTGCTAAAAATACCAAAGTTAGCTGGGTGTGGTGAAACGCCTGTAATCCCAGCTACTTGGCAGGCTGAGGCAGGAGAATCGCTTGAACCCAGGAGGCAGAGGTTGCAGTGAGCTGAGATTGTGCCACTGTACTGCAACCTGGACAACAGAGAGAGACTTCGTCTCAAAAAAAAAAAAAAATCAATTTCAATTCATAAACATTGGTGTAGGTCCTGAAATTTCCCAAACAATTCAGTAAAAATTAGAGAAAAATTTACAAGAACTCTTGAAGTGAGATGTACTTTATTCAGTCATTGTCTTCCTTTTACATTATGGCTTTTTTGTGTATGTGACAGGGTCTCGCTCTGTCACCAAGGCTGGAGTGCAGTGGTGCCATCTCAGCTCACTGTGACCTGTGCCTGTTGATCTGAAGTGATCCTCCCACCTCAGCCTTCTGAATAGATGGGACCATAGGCTCGCACTGTCATGCCAAGCTAATTTTTTATATTTTTTGTAGAGATGGGATTTCACCATGTTAGCCATGCTGGTCTCGAACTCCTGAGCTCAGGCGATCTGCCTTCCTTGGCCCCGCAAAGTGCTGGGATTGTAGGTGTAAGCCACTGCGCCGCAGCCATGGCCTTTTTTTTTTTTTAAAGTAATTATGAAGTGTTATCCAATGAAAGATATGACCTAAATACTGAATTTTTTTTTAAAGCAGCATACATCTGACTACATATATTTGGTTTGCCATTTTTTAGGTTGGTACAACAACACATATAACATAGATTAATTCTAGATATTTGAAGTTTATTATATTTGGACAGTTTTGCTTTGTGTTAGTGATTATTTTTCTTTTTTAGACAGTGTTTTGCTCTTGATGTTCAGGCTGTAGTACAATGGCGCAATCTCAGCTTACCGCAACCTCCGCCTCCCAGGTTCAAGCGATTCTCCTGCCTCAGCCTCCTGAGTAGCTGGAATTACAGGTGTGTGCCACCATACCTGGCTAATTGTTGTATTTTTATTGGACAGGGTTTCACCATGTTGGCCAGACTGGTCTTGAACTCCTGACCATAGGTGGCCTGCCCGCCTCAGCTTCCCAAAATGCTGGGATTACAGGCTTGAGCTACTGCGCCCAGCCATGTTAGTGATTTTTGTTGTTGTTTTGGAGACAGGATCTCACTCTGTCACCCAGGGTGTAGTGCAGTGGTACAGTCACTGCTTACTACTTTCTCTGCCTCAACCCCAGAATTAGCCATTTTTCTAAGGAGTTCTGCTGTTGAATGTTTTCAGTAGTAAAATAGAATAGATGTTGAGTGTGAGAGAGAAATCAAGGTGACTTTATGAATTTTGGGCTAAAAACCTGGAAGTACGGAGTTGTCGTCAACTTATATGAGCAAGTATGCAAGTAGAGCAGGCATGTGTATGTGTCAGGGAGGAGGATCAAGCACTTAAAACAATTTGGAACATTAACTAGACATCCAAATAGAGATATCAAGTAAGCAGCTGGATATGAGAATCTGGTGTCCAGGAGAGAAACCTGGACATCGAATTCATAAATTTTAGGAAAAAAATAAATTTATTTTAAGAATAAATTAAGTGATTATTTGGGAATCATTAATACAGACATGGAATTTAAGCCATGAGATTGGATTTATTTTAGGAATAAATTAGTAGTGATTATTTAGGAATGTATAATACAGAGATAGAATTTAAACCATGAGATTGGATAAGACCACAAGATGGTGAGTATACATAGAGAAGAGCAGACCAGGTACTAGGCCATAAGTGTTCTCTAGAAGAAGATAAGGAACCATCAAAGAAGACAGAACAGAAATTTCCAGTGAGAAGGAAGGAAAGAAAGCATGTCTTGTGGTCTTATTCAATCTCATGCCATCTATTGCCACACATGTTGGATTGTAATTATACATGATAATTTTACAGTGGAAAAATGTGGCAGACTTACTTTGTGCAAATGTTCAAGGCTATTATCACCTATGTAGGGACAGACTTGACACTACACCTGGCAGTGCTTTTTGATGTTATGCATTAAGAGGATATAACATCACTTATGTAGTTCTCTGTCACAAATGTGGAGGAAATGCCAGACAAACTCATACCAAGGGCCATTCTAGAAAACAAGTGGCCATGAGTATATTCTTCAGAAGTGAGAAAGTAGTGAGGAAAATATGATGAGTCTAGGTTAAAAGTGCAGTCATGCATAGCTTGATAATAGGGACACATTCTGATAAAGTGCATCATTAGGTGATTTTGTCATTGTGGGAACATTGTAGAGTGAACTTACGCAAATCCAGGTGGTATACCCTACTGCACACTAGGCTATATGGTATAGCCTATTGCTCTTAGGCTACGCACCTGTACAGCATGTTACTGTACTGAATACTGAGACAACTGTAATACAATTTGTGTAACTATTTGTGTATCTAAGCGTGTTTAAACGTAGAAAAGGTACAGTATAAATAAGATATAAAAGATAAAAAATGGTACACATACAGAGGCTGAGGCAGGTGGATTGCTTAAGGTCAAGAGTTCAAGACCTAGCCTGGCCAACATTCAAAACCCTGTCTCTACTAAAAATGCAAAAATTACCAGGGCATGGTGGTGTGCGCCTGTAGTTCAGCTACTCGGGAGGCTGAGGCACGAGAATCACTTGAACCCTTTAATATGGGAGGCAGAGGTTTCATTGAGCTGAGATCATGCCACTGCTCTCAAAATAATATTTAGCTTAAAACACAGATACATTGTACAGCTATACAAAAATATTTTCTTTATATCCTTGTATCCTTGTTCTATAAGCTTTTTTCTATTAAAAAAAAATTTTTTTTTTAACTTTAAAACACACACATTAGCCCCGGCCTACACAGAGTCAGACCATCAATCTCACTGTCTTTTACCGTCACATCTTGCCCCACTGGACGATCTTCAAGGGCATTGACTCGCATGGAGCTGTAATCTCCTGTGATAGCAATGCCTTCTTCTGGAATACTTCTTAAAGGGCCTACCTGAAGCTGTTTTGCAGTTAACTTTTTATAAGTAGAAGTATACGCTAAAATAATGATAAAAAGTATAGTGAGTACATAAACTAATAACAATTGTTTATTAAGTAGTATATACTTTACATAATTGCATGTGCTATACTTTTACATGACTGGAAGTCTAGTAGGTTTGTTTACATTGAGTATCATCACAGACATGTGAGTAATGTGTTGGAATGCCACAAGGCGATAGGAATTTTTCAGCTCCATTGTAATCTTACAGGACCACCATCATATACGTGATCTCTGTCATTGAACAAAACGTCCTTATGTGGTACATGACTATATATGGAAATTTATACTGTTCTTACAGCTTTTTTCTAATTGTTGAATTTTTTCTAGTAAAAAGTTTAAAATATATATTTATGTATATCCAGATTCTGTTCACTCCACTTCACATTAACCACCTTGATCCAAGTCACCATCATCTCTTGCTTAAATTAATAAATCACTCCTAATGGTTTTTCCTGCTTCTGTCTTTACCCGCCTCTACAATCTGCTCTTAGCACAGCAGCAGCATGACACGTGGTATTACTCGTCTGCTCAAGGTCCTCCCCTGGCACCTCATTTCAGTCACGGCCTTATTATAATGACCTACAAGGCCATTTATCTTCTGCTGTCTCCCTGTCCTTACACTCTGACCTGTCTCCTACATACCCCCTCCACTGCTCCATCCACGTTGCTCTGTGTGAACTCACCTGGCATCATATAAATATGATGTCATAGCTGTTTCCTTTTTCTGGAACACTTTTTCTGCAGATACCCTCATGACTAATTTCTTTCCTCCATTCAAACTGTGTTAAAATGTCACTGTTTCAGTCTGTCTTACTCCAATAACCCTATTTGAAGTCACAAACTGCACTTTCCTCCACCCTGGTCTTCCTGACCTCATTTTGCTCTATTTTCTACATGGTTTTTAATCACTGTTTAATGTATTTATTAGTCATTTATTATATTTATTGTTGTCTTTTCTTAGAATTTATGATCCACAGAGCATGGATTTTGTACTATTCAATAATATTTCTTTCCCAAATGCCAGGTTAGATTTTTGTTTATCTCAGATGGTTTTCTTTAGGTTAGGGAGTAGGTTTTTTGGTTCATAATTATAACAAAAGTTTATTTCTGTGCTCTTCTAGAGGGTCAGAGCTTGTGACCATTAATTTTCAAGGGAGAAAATTGTTTGTTTGTTTTTTTTTTTTAGGGAGATACTATTGTCTGTATATTAACAGGGAGAAACCCAGCTGTGTCAAACTGCAGTCAATCTTAAACACTCGTGCCCTAATTAATCTCTTAGTTATTATAGCCTAAGAGCCAGCCGAGTAGTTTTAATGAATTTAGCTTTGATTTCTTCAGAGACTGAAGGAATAGCAAAAGTTGTATTGCCAATAGATAATTTTAAAAATAGGACATGGTAGTTAATTTATATAAATTTCTTTGAGAGTTGTACAACATTTGGAAAAATAAAATTATGATTTTGGCATTTTCAGTGTTTCAGAAGAATTTTTTCAAAGCATTGTACAGCATTTTCAGTTGTGGAGGACTAAGGCAGTCTTATTTATATTTTCCCCTGTTTTAGAAGACAATGTTAACTTCTTTGAGGAAAGGAAACAATAGATCATGATCTTAGTCATGGTTTTTAAGATGTTTTTGACATGCACTTCAGGGTCCATTCTGATTTGAGATTTGGCCTGTGAACCCTTGTGTGACTTTGTGTATTACTGTGTAGACTGTTCTGTAAATTTTGCATTTCGTTTGAGTTTTTATTTTATTTTTGTTTCTATTAACATGCTGGCTTTTTGCAAATCAAGAACATGTATTAAAATTTAGTCTATAAAATATGAATCACAGTTTTGTTTTGTTCCTTGTCATAGCAGCCTCACGTCAAAGCATTCGCAGAGTATCTCTGGAGGAAGTTCTGGAAATACTAGGAACAGGGTTTCTACGTGGAAGTTCAGGATTTCTTCGAGCCAGTGGAGATATGCTGAAAGGAACCAGTTCAGTCAGTAGGGATGTTCGAGTTGGAGTTACTCAGGTTAGAAATCACAAATCAGTATGTAAATCTAACTCTGACTGGCCTATAATGAAAGTTTTAGTATCTGACTCCACAGAAATGGCACTATACAAGGTCATCACTTATGCTCTCCTATCTATAAATAAACATAAATGATAAGGCCAAAACATTTTTTTAAAACTAGGTTAGAAGTAAGAGAACCTTATTACCTATAATGTGTTTTACATTCCTAATAATGGAACATTTTAATTTTCTTTGAAACACAAACATTTTTTGTTTCTAGCTCTTGTGCTTTCATGTGTCTTGTGGTTTAACATGTTTTCCATTGTATTTATTTGTGCTCATACAGTTCAGATTTAAACTGTTAGGTACATATTGTTTAGCATGGGTGAAGTGACCATTTTATATGATTTTAACCCTCAAGGATTACAGCATGTAGGTTTCTTCAGTGCTTAAATTTTTGGTCCTAAACAAATTTTAAGAGGGCAAACTCTTGGAAAAGTTATTTTACAATAAAATAATACAGAGATAACTGCCTTTTTTCTTTGGATTATCTTTTTTCTAAACACTGTATGGTTCAAAGCAAACTTGTATTTTTGAAAAATTCACATATGTCATCATTGTTTTATACTGCATATAGTCTTCATGAAAAAATGAGCCTCCCAGTATAATTGTAATTAAACTGTGTGTTTCTAAGGAACAGATTATTTAAGAAAACTACTTGACTTTTTATCTCTGACAAACCATTAATGTTCATGAAAATAAAGAACTAAATTCCCTTAGAGTTATAGTGTTAGAGCATAGTTAATTCTTATAATGTGTTTTTATGTTTAAATTGAGATTTCTTGTTCAGAATGTTAAATCTCCTGGAGCCGTTCACAGAAGCCACAGACACATTGTACTTATTAGCTGGGTATGCTGACTATCCTGAAACTGCACAGTCTGACCAAAATAAATCAGGGAGGTAACATAAATTTGAAAGATTAGGTACTTCAGTTCTGGCTGAAAACAAAAACAAAATGATACTGTGTTTATATATTTAGAGTGACTATAAATTAGGCCCTCGGAAAATTTATAGGGAATAAGAAAAATATTCCCTTAAATGCTACATATTTTGTGGGAGGAAAATACAGAATTGAAGCAATTTAATATTGAAAATAAATTTGTTTCCTTTTTAGGCTTATGTGGTATTTGTTTCAACACTAGGAGGAGCTTGGCTAGAAAAAAATTTTGCTGCCTTTCTTTCTCATGTCCTAAGCCTTGTGTCACAGTCACACCCTAAAGCCACCCAAACTCAGATTGATGCTGTCTGCTGTCGCCGTTGTGTTTCATTTATTCTTCGAACTACTATAGGAGGTCTTGGAGAAAAGGCTCAACTTGCTGCTGTAAAGGATATTTTCCAGGCTATCTGGAAGCTAAAGAAAGTTATGGGTATGGATCTACTAAGACTGTTTGTTTAATGGTGCTAATGGAATTGTTCCTTTGGGAAAGCTAGACTGATGTACACTATATTAATACAGAAACCTTGAAGGCTAATGGAAGTTCTTCAGAATTCAGATTGTACTTCCTATAAAGTTAAGATAAATTATTTTTGAAACAGTCTCAGTTCCTGTACCATCTTAATTCTACTCTGCCTGTCTCGAATATCAGTAATGTTGGATATTAAATACCAGTAATGTTGAAATAATTTTTAGTTTCTCATGAGTTTTTTTTTTAGTGCCACTTGCTAAGGGAGTAATAGAATGTTTTGGTTTCTCTTCAAGTTGCATAAATTTTTCGCTAAGGGAGTAATACAGACGGGATCTCTGATTGGAATGCTTGAACTAAATTGGTTATAGTAGTTCATTTCTTTCTTTATTGATCCCAGTCTCCATTTAAGCATTTTAGTTATCGCCCCAAGTGTTTCATATATATCGTTGTGTGTATTAATTTTCGCCATTATACTTTTTTACTCTTCATACCCCTTTCAATATATTTTAATGCAGTAGTGATACATAGTTAATTCTTGCATTTCTATCAGATGCCGTAATGAGTGATGGTAATTTGGATACCCGGCTTGGTTCCACAGATACAGCAGCTAGCCAGCATATGCTAGTTTGTGCTTTACAAGAACTTGGAAATGTCATATACAGTCTTGGTACCACAGTGGCACCTTTGCTACAGGATTCAAGTACAGGTATATCTGTTGTTTGTGACTCATTTGAATACCTTGGTTTCCCTCGTACACTAGATAACTTTGTTCCAAGGAAGGAAATCTTCATATAGCTGACTTAGAGATTTCATTATAGATTTATTAGAGATGTTTTATGAAAAAATTTATAATCGGGATTGTTAAAAATATGTACATTGTTTAGTTTTTTTTCCTTTTATAATTAAATATTGTTCTCTAAGTCTCCACCCCACCCCCGATTCTAGAGACCCATAACATGGAAAAACTTACAGAGAAGTAAACCTGAACTCTCTCTGCATCTGCAGTGAAAACATAAGTACGGTACAAGTAATTCAGTTCCTCAAAGGTCTTTCAAGTAGTATTTTTTTCTTTTTTTAAAAGTTATTTAATCAGTTTATAATAGCTTTATTAAGATAGAATTCACGACTAGGCGCAGTGGCTCATGCCTGTAATCCCAACATTTTAGGAGGCCAAGGTGGGTAGATCACTTGAGGTCAGGAGTTCAAAAGCAGCCCAGCAAACATGACAAAACCCCATCTCTACTAAAAATACAAAAATTAACCAGGCATGGTGACACATGCCTGTAATCCCAGCTACTTGGGAGGGTGAGACACAAGAATCGCTTGAGCTCCAGAGGTAGAGGTTTCAGTGAGCCAAGATAATGCCACTGCACTCAAACCTGAGCAACAGAGACTGTCTCAAAAAAAAAATAATAATAATAATAATAATTCACTTACCATGAAGTTTATACTTATAAGGAATATAATTCAGTGTTTTTGAATATATTTGCTATACTGTACAGCCACTACCACTGTCTAATTCCAGAGTCTTTTCATTATCCCAGAAAGAAGTCCATTAGTTGTCATTCCCATTTTCCTGTACCCTAGCCCCTGGTGACCATGAATTTACTTTCTGTCTCTATGAATCCACCTATTCCAGATATTTCATGTTTAAAAAAATCATTTAATATGTGGTCATTACTGACTGGCTTCTTTCTAAAAATCACTTTTAAAAATCATTTTTTAGACTAGGTATGGTGGCTCACGCCTGTAATCCCAGCACTTTGGGAGGCCAAGATGGGAGAATTGCTTGAGCTCAGGAGTTCAAGACCAGCCTGGGCAACATAGTAAGAACTCCTCTCTACTAAAAATTTTTTTGAAAACTTAATCAGACATGGTGGTGTGCACCTGTAGTAGTCCCAGCTCTTTGGGAGGCTGAGGCAGGTATATCACTTAAGCCCAGGAGATTGAGACAACAGTGAGCTATCATCATGCCACTGCATTCCATCCTGGGTGACAGTGAGGCCCTGTTTCAAAAAAATATATCAAATATATCATTTTTTATGCCTTTTATCCTTTGTGATACACATTTCCTTCTAACAGAGAAACTATATTTGTGTTTATAAGCTATTTAGATCTGGGGCACTTATTTAAATAGCATTTAACATGAAACTTCTATGTTTGATGAAAATTTATGTTGAATCATAGCAAATATAGCATTTTTTAAAATGATGGTGGCAGTTATTTCACTGTCTTTGTAGTTAGTCGATTAGTAGCCCACTCAGGACCCAGCAAAACCTTGATTTTAACATTTTGCTCTTAGAAGAGCAACATGGTAGATAGAAAGTATATTAATTATATAGGCTGAGTACGGTGGCTAATGCCTGTAATCCAGTGCTTTAGGGGGCTGAGGTGGGTGGATTACCTGAGGTCAGGAATTCAAGACCAACCTGGCCAATATGGTGAAACCTCGTCTCTACGAAAACAAAAATTAGCCAGGTGTAGTGGCACGCACTTGTGATCCCAGCTACTCAGGAGGCTAAGGTGGGAGAATCACTTGAACCCAGAAGGTGGAGGTTGCAGTGAATCAAGATTGGGCCACTGCATTCCAGCCTGGGCAACAGAGCAAGACTCTGTCTCAAAAAAAAAAAAATTATGTAGATAAATGTACTAGAAGGTTTAAAAAATAAAATAGGGGCAGGGTGTGACCTTTTTTTTCTTTGTTTTTTCAAGGCAGAGTCTCAGTCTGTCACCCAGGTTGGAGTACAGTGGTGCATTCTTGGCTCAGTACAAACCCCACCTCCCTGGCTCAAGTGATCCTCCCACCTCAGCCTCTCTAGTAGTGGGTACCACAGGCATGTGCCACCATGCCTGGCTAATTTTTTGTATTTTGGGTAGAGGCAGAGTTTTGCCATGTTGCCCAGGCTGGTCTCAAATTCCTGAGTTCAGGCAATCCACCGCCTTGGCCTCCCAAAGTGTGGGGATTACAGATATGAGCCACCACACCTGGCCAGGGTATAACATTCCTTTTCAACGTGTTATTTATTGATAATTTAGTACCAAATTAATAGTCTATCTGAAGCTAAAGTAGGCAATTGGCTTATTTAGGAAATTTTTCTTTTGTATACGGACTTAATTTAGGGCAGTTTTTATGAGATATATTAGTAGAAGTAATTCTTAGGTTAAAATTTATTTTGAATAGGAATGGTGAGAAGGAAGAAAAATGAAATTAAAAGAAAAATAAAATTATTTGTAATTATGTATTTTTCTATTATAATATGGCTTTTGATAAAAATATATATATTTTTATCAAGCTATGTATTCTTTTGACTATTTTATACTCAGGTGAGGTTTATTTATGCACCTAAGTCATCATTTGTTTGTTCTATTTTTCCAGGCCTTCTTGACAGTATCTTGTCAGTTATTCCTCATCCTAGCATTTCCGTTCGACTAGCAGCAGCTTGGTGTTTACACTGCATTGCCATGGCATTACCTTCCTACCTAACACCTCTCTTGGATCGTTGCCTTGAACGGCTTAGTGGACTTAAGTCTTCACCTGAAGCAGTAACTGGCTTTAGTTTTGCTGTGGCAGCTTTGTTGGGAGCAGTAAAACATTGCCCTTTAGGAATTCCTCATGGAAAAGGCAAGGTAATGATTTCATTCTCTATATAAAATAATGAGCTGCTTTTTGTTACAAGTATCTTCACATAGTGACAGAATTTGTTACCGAATGCTTTATTTTGCTGTATATGTAGCCCTGCCATATATAAGTACATTAAAAATTTTGTTGTAGAGGGTAAATAGAGCCGCAAAAGAAATCTTTTAATAATTAAGCTTAATATTTGATAATTTAGTTAGTGGTATATTGGTGATATTACTTTAAAATTAGTTTACGTATCATAAGATAAAGTAGACAAATAATTATGTTAATGTTCTTGGGAACCAACATTTTCAATATAAGTAAAAAGAACTATAACTATAGAATCGAAGTTAAGTAAAATTCCCATACATTAGATTTGAATTGAAATTATCAGTATGAACTCATTTTTTTTCAAAAATACTCATATCTTCTTTTTGTACAATCAAAAGGCCTAAGCGCAATGATAACCCAGTGTCAGGGACACCCCTAGTGCCCAGATTGTAGCACTAAATACTATTTCCAAACAAAAAGGAATCAGGACTCCATAGAGCAGTACTGGTTTCAGATCTGGGGCAGGAAATCCCCAATATAAACATGGGTATCTTGTCATGCCAGAAAGTAAGGAAGTCATCAAGGAATACTTTGTTCATTTTAAAAGGAGGTAACTTAAGGGGCTCCCACTGACCAAAGACTGCATGATACATACATCAAATTAATAATTACTATAGTGAATTAAAACATACCAGATAATATATAAAATTTCATGCGTTCATAATGATATTCAACCACCCAATTGTATTCCTACCAAAAAATGTCATTTTCTGAGTAAATTTAGAATCCAGCACTTCCAGACAAATAAATGATAGAAACCTAGTGAATAAATAACCCAGTTTTAACGTACAAAGAATTTTGAAGAGAACTAAGGAAAACAATTTTTTAATGAAACATAGATAATACAACATAGGCAAGTGTGGTGTTTGAATTTTGTCTCTTTTTTAATAGCTAGGAAATGTAAGTTGTCAGAGAATGTTATTTGACAGTGGAAGCCCTTATAACCCATCATACCTCTCACAAGCTCATAAATATATTTGAAAAATACATCACCATTATTCCTCATTGCCATGCCTGTGTCATTATGGAATTTGATAATATGTCCTCCACAGTGTAGGCTCTGCAAAAGGCCATTCTATAACTTGAGCAATTCCAAAAAAATTTTGAGTGTTGCCAGTGCCGTTGAAATAAGGCAGTTGACAACTTGAGATTATTTATTTAAATTTATTATTTTAGTTATATTCTTAACATATCACATCTTGCTAAGCAAAGACTTGTCATTGAATATATTTAATTAAAACTATCCTCAGTTCGCATTAATTCAGACAAGGTTCCCATTCCCGTATTATATTAGGAATTCCTTTCCGAGAGAATATTGACTTGTTCTGATTTGACTAGAATGGTTTGTTTTGTCCTCACTCTTTTTGAGTGCTCTCCATTGGTTGTATAAGCTGCAGGGAGTCCTAAATTAGTGGTAAGTTGGTTGGCTGTTTTAAAATACGCTAGCCTTCCTCTTTAGAAAATTTATATGCCAACTTGTAATACTTACTGCTTTTTCAGAGGTGATTGGTAATAGATGTTTTCTCATATTAGTTGTTCTCTGGCCTTTGTACTATGTAAGCATACATTATCCATAAATGTGAAATGTCTGGTTCTTCCTCTCTCTTGTTTTATAACACTGCCTATTTCATGGACTTCTTTTTTTTTTTTTTTTTTTTTTTTTGAAACAGGGTCTTGCTTTGTCACCTAGGTCAGAGTGCAGTGGTGAGATCATAGATCACTGCAGCCTCCAATGCCAGGGCTCAAGCGATCTTCCCATTTCAGCCTCCCAAGTACCTGAAACTATGGGCGCATACTACCATGCCTGGCTAATTCTTTTTTTTTTTTTTTTTGTGAAGATAGGGTCTCACTCTGTTGCCCAGGCTGGTCATTTTCATTTATTTATTTACTTATTTATTTATTTTTCCAAAGAGACATGGTCTTGCTCTGTTGCCCAGGCTGCAGTACAGTGGTGTGATCCTAGCTCACTCCTAGGCTGGTCTTGAACTTCTGGCCTCAAGTGATCCTCTCACCTTGGCCTTCTGAGTCTTTGGGCTTATAGGCCTGAGCCACTGTGCCCAGCCTCGTAGACTTAACTATAACATTTTAATAAATCTCACTCTTCAGTGTGAGACTATTTTGACTACTCTAACCACTATAGTATACTACCTCTCAGAAGACTGTTATCAGCCCAGAGGTATAAAAGTAGTATGTAGCATTTTTAAGAGAGAGACTCCTATAAGAAAACTTTTTTTTTGAGTAATTACTTATTTAAAAAGATAGTTGCTCAAAACTATGTAAATTCACATCTCTACAGCTATACTGGAATAATCTTACATTGTTGTCACACATGCTTTACAAAGAATTGTGGGATTGTTGTGTACTACCTCATATACCAGTATTTAACCTAGAAAACTTAATTTTGTATAGTTTCCTTTATGACAGTCCTATTATGTAGTCTACATGAATGACAATTCTTTATCACTTACATTTATTTTATGTAAGAATTAATTTTTCAAGAGATTATTAGCTGCTGTCATTTAGTAATTTAAAAATTGATATGCTTTTTTTAAAACTTGTTCTTCTATATGTAAATAGATTATTATGACATTAGCAGAGGATTTGCTGTGTTCTGCTGCTCAAAACAGTCGCCTTTCAGCTCAGCGCACACAAGCTGGATGGTTGCTGATTGCTGCTCTGATGACATTAGGTAACAGTCTGTAAAAGGTTTACATACTTTGAAATACTTTGTGTTTTCTGAGTGAAAGGATTCTTATATGTGATTTGATGAGACTAACGTAATACATACCAGAATTTAAATAGCCACACAAACATTTTTCTCTTAGTAGTCACCTTAAAAAGCCATTTACTTTCTTCATTGCTTAAAACCTTTTGAGATCTCTTTTGATTTTTTCTTCCAGAATAGATAATAAGCCTCAAGTAGGATAAGCCGATTTACTAATCATCTTTCAGGCTTAACTCTGAACAACTGTGGCTTTTTCAAAAATCATTAACACCCATCTTCAGAAAAAAAATTTTCCACAATATAGGTAAAAGAACATATCCATAGCCTGTGAATTCAGTTCTATAATTGTTTGAGGATTCATAACAGCCAATAAGGTTGCTACATTGAAGGGGATGGGTTTCACTTAAATTATATTTATTAAGAATCAAGGCTGGGAGCAGTGGCTGACACCTGTAATCCCAGCACTTTGGGAGGCCTGGGAGGGTGGGTCACGAGGTCAGGAGTCTAGACCATCTTGGCTAACATGGTGAAACCACATCTCTACTAAAAATACAGAATATTAGCTGGGCATGGTGTCAGGCGCCTATAGTCCTAGCTACTCAGGAGGCTGAGACAGAAAAATCACTTGAACTCGGGAGGCAGAGGTTGCAGGGAGCTGAGATCGCACCACTGCACTTCAGCCTGGGTGACAGAGTAAGACTCTGTCTCAAAAAAAAAGAGTAATTGTTTTACGGTCATGACTATTTATATCCTGTAAATTTAAAACTTGATTTTATTTTTAAGACAGAGTCTTACTCTGTATCCCAAGCGGAAGTGCAGTGGCATGATCATGGCTCACTGCATCCTCAACCTCCTGGGCCCAAGTGATCTCCTCCCTAAGCCTCGCCAAGTAGCTGGGACCACAAGCATGCAACATCATGCCTGGCTAATTTTAAAATTTTTTTTGTAGAGATGGGGTCTCACTGTGTTGTCGTGTCTGGTCTTGAACTCCTGGGCTCAGGCAGTCCTTCCACCTTAGCCTCCCAAAGTGTTAGGATTATAAGCGTGAGCCACGGAAACTTTATTTTTTTACTCACTCTTGTGGTGCTAATGAAAATTTTATTGCTTTGTCACAGCTATATTTTAAGTCTCTACTGTCATACAAGTTATAACTCAGATATAAAACAACTGGCTGAGGCCAGGCACAGTGGCTCATGCTAGTAATCCCAGCACTTTGGGAGGCTGAGGTGAGTGGATCACTTGAAGTCAGGAGTTCAAGATCAGCCTGGCCAACAAGGTGAAATCCTGTCTCTACTGAAATACAAAAATTAGCTGAGCGTGGTGGTGCACCCCTGTAGCTCTAGCTACTTTGGAGGCTGAGGGAGGAGAATTGCATGAAGCCAGGAGGTGGAGGTTGCAGTAAACTGAGATTGCGCCACTGCACTCCAGTTTGGGCAACATAGCAAGACTCCCCCTCAGTCCAGGTGCAGTGGCTCACGCCTATAATCCCCACACTTTGGGAGGCCTAGGTATGCAGATCATCTGAGGTCAGGAGTTCAAGACTGGGCTGGCCAACACGGTGAAACCTCGCCCGTACTAAAAAAATACAAAAATTAGCTGGGTGTGGTGGCACGTGCCTGTAGTCCCAACTACATGGGAGGCTGGGGCAGGAGAATTGCTTGAACCCAGAAGGCGGAGGTTGCAGTGTGCTGAGATCACACCACTGCACTCCAGCCTGGGTGACAGAGCGAGACTCCATATCTAAAAATAAAAATAATGAAATAGAGCAATTGGCTGGATTTGGCCAGTAAATCATTTTGACACCTATGAATTTGACCTAAAGGAGCTTAAATTAGAATAAACAATCATAAATGAAGAACTGCTTTAAGTAGTGTTCTTAAGATGATTAAAGAGATTTATTGGACTAGATCAGGTTTAGCCTCAAGGAGCCAAATTTGGCTTGCCACCAAAATTGCTAGTCAGCCTGTGAGCTAAGAACAGTTTTTATATTTATTGATGGTTGGGGAAAAAAGATATTTTGTGATACATGAGAATCATGTGAAAGTCACATTTCAGCATTTATGGTTTTATTGCATACAACCACATTTACTTGTTGTTGGATTGTCTGTGTGACCTTTAGGTGCTACAGTGGCAGAGTTGAGTAATTGCAACAGGAAGTACATGGCTCTCAGAGGCTCAAATGTTTACTGTCTCCCCCTTTACAGAAAGTATTTGTTAGCCCAAAGCAGAATCATTTCACAGTTTTCTGGGAATAATGTAGTTAAGCTTTTATTTGCTTATTGCTGGGTGTTCATGCCTGCCGTATTGATGTTCTTGGTGAATTAAGGAGGAAATAAACCACTTAATGAGCGCTATTTTGACAAACGAGATTTAAAACAAGGTAATTTGTGTTGGAGGAAGACAACAAGAGGTCCTTTCTCCTGTACATCATATTTTACTTCATAGTCGTCATACAAAGATGTATTAAAAGTTTTAATTAAGGTTTTATTTAATTACTGCATTTTCTTGGGTTTTATTCATTTTTCTTAACTATTCTTTCCCTTTATTATCTGTTTTTATTCTTATTTATTTATTTATTTATTTATTGAGACAGGGTCTCACTTTGTCACCCAGGCTGGAGTGCAATGGTATGATCATGACTCACTGCAGCCTCAACTTGCCCAGGCTCAGATGATCCACCTGCCTCAGCCTCTCGAATAGCTGAGACCATATGCACCACCACACCTGGCTAATTTTTTGTAGAGATGGGGGTTTTGCCATGTTGCCCAGGTTGGTCTTGAACACCTGGACTCAAGTGATCCGCCTGCTTTGACCTCCCAAAGTGCTGGGACTATAGGAATGAGTCACTGCACCCGGGCTATTATTAATTTTTAGAATGGGTTTAGTATCGTTAGCACCTTTCAAGGGGAACCAGTGAGGTTTTTGTTTTTAGGTATCATTATGAACTCATGGAATTTTATATATTTATATGTTTTAATCATTTGCTGTAATTATTCCTTTCAATCCTCAAATTGTCTTATCTTTGGTCATTGGGAGTTGCTTCAAGTTGGTTCATTTGCTCTTTTAACATGAACCTAATATTCTTTGAGAATGTGTTTGCGTGTAAGATGTCCCAGGTTTTATATTGTACATTTCCTGCCCTAGGCTTGCCATTAGCCATTTCTCCAAAGAACCTTGATTCCTTTTGTGGGAAAAGGATTTTTTTTTTTTTTTTTTTTAAAGAAAGAAGGTCTCAGCATATTACCCATACTGGGGTACAGTGACAGTATCATAGCTCACTGCAGCCTTGAATGACAGGCTCAAGCAGTCCTTCTGCCTCAGATTCCTAAATAGCCATGACTATAGATTTGTACCACAACATCCAGCTCATTTTTTTTTGAGACAGAGTTTTGCTCTTGTTACCCAGGCTGGACGCGATCTCGGCTAACGGCAACCTCCGCCTCCTGGGTTCAAGCAATTCTCCTGCCTCAGCCTCCTGAGTAGCTGGGACTACAGGCGTGCGCCACCATGCCCAGCTAATTTTTTTATTTTTAGTAGAGACAGTGTTTCACCATGTTGACCAGGATGGTCTTGATCTCTTGACCTAGTGATCTACCCGCCTTGGCCTCCCAAAGTGCTGGGATTATAGGCGTGAGCCACTGCGCCCGGCCTATCCAGCTAATTTTTAAATTTTTTTTGTAGACATGGAATCTTGCTGTTTCCCCAGCTGATCTTGAACTCCAGGGCTCAAGTGATGCTCCTGCCATGGCCTTCCAAAGTGCTTGGATTACAGGCATGGGCCACAGTGCCCAGCTGGGAATGATTTTTAGATAGCAATCTTAGTGCTCTGTTAATTTTTGCTTTGCATTTCAAACACATCTTCTCTGTTTTTATCATTCCCTTTACGATTTACAATTTTCTTTACTATTTTGCTCTGAACTAATGTAAACACAAGTAAACCACGTTCATTCCTTGAATATGAACTACACACTTAAGCCTTTTTTGATACGCTTCCCAGTTTATATGATGCCATATAAAAAAACTTGGATTTATCTACCGATTCCTTCATATCTTGTCTCTCTTTGGATGGTTCATAAAGTGTGTGTGTATGTTGTGTTTGCTATATACATTATAATATTTATTTATTCATTTAAAGAAAGGATCTTGCTCTGTCTGTTGCCCAGGCTAGAGTACAGTAGCACAATCAGACTGTAGCTTGCTACAGCTTTGATATCTTGGGCTCAAATGATCCTCCTGCCTCAGCCTCCCAAACAGGCATGTGCTGCCACACCCAGCTAACTTTTTACTTTTTTGTAGAGATGGGATTTTGGTTTATTGACCTGGCTGGTCTCAAACACCTGGCTTCAAGCAATCCTGCAGCCTCAGCCTCTCAAAGTGCTGGGATTACAGCCATGAGCCACCATGCTCAGCTCTAAGTGCTATTCTGTGTATAAACTCAATATGCCTCAGAAACTGTCCTTTGAATCAAATACTGTTATTCTCCCATTTATGGATGAGGAAATTGAGGCACAAAAAGGTTAAGCAACTCATCCAGGTTTATTCAACTAATAAGTGGATGGAGCCAGGATATTAACCTAGGCAGTCTCCCTCCAAAGGTTCTGAGCTATGGATTTGGAATGGAAGAAAGACATATAGTCAGTGGAATGTGAGAGTAAGAAGTAGAGAGTGCTATTTGGAGAAGTTTAAGGTAACCCCAGAAATTTAAAGAAAAGTTACTTGGGGAGAAAAGCTATGGGTTTTGGTTTTTATATATCTTGTATATCTTAGTTTTTTAAAAATTGATAATGTTATCATTGAACATTGTTTTGTATTACCGGGTTTGTGTCATGATTCCTTCAATTCATAAGTGTTGCTCTGAAGTCTTTTTTTCACAAAAAGTATTCTGTTCTGATATTTCATATCTGATTTTTGACCTTGAACAAGTTGCTGTTAGAAGTTAGCATTATTCTGAAGATCAGGAGTACAATGGGCCAGGTGCAGTGGCTCACATCTGTAATTCCAGCACTTTGTGAGGCTGAAGTGGGTGGATTGCTTAAGCCCAGGAGCTCAGACCTGCCTGGGCAATATGGCAAGATCTCATCTCTAAACGAAAAATACAAAAATTAGCTGGGCATGATGGCACATACCTGTAGTCCCAACTATTCAGGAGACTGAAATAGAAGGATCACCAATGAGCTGTGATCATACAACTGCACTTCTTAACTCCAACCTGGGGGACAGAGCAAGACCCTGTCTCAAAAGGGATGCAATGTTGTTTGTTACTATAGCAGTTGTACTTTGCATTATGTGGTCCATTATAGCTTTTCAGAGTACTTTGAAGTACACTCTATCATTTGGACCTGACAAGCCCTTAAAGACAAGCATTACAGGGGGTTTTAGCTTCATTTTATTTGCAGATGAAACTGAATCTCAAAGGGGACATAGCAGTAGTGGAAGAGCTGACACTAGAGCCCAGGCTGTACCATTAGTTTGTTGTTTTTCCTCTCTGTGCTCCAACACCTTCAGATAGTAATTCATTTAGTAATAGATTAATTTGGAACCCGAAGATGAGAAAGGGGACAAAATATTGCAATAATGAATTAAAATGTTTAGGGAGAAGTTCCTGCTTAATTATATAATTTTAAAGAGTGACAACCTTAGGTTCTCTTACAAGTGACAAGTTGAATAAATTACAGGTCCTGCAGTTGTTAGCCATCACCTTGCTCGAGTTCTGCTGTTGTGGAAGTGTGTCTTTCCAGCATCTCCTAAAGATCTAGAAACAGAAAAGAGCCGAGGAGATTCATTTACATGGCAGGTAACCCTGGAAGGACGAGCTGGTGCGCTGTGTGGTAGGTTGGATTTAGTCTTTTCTCTCCCTTTCTGTTGGTTTTGTGCCCACCTGTGGTCCTTAACATGTACTTGTATGTTTTATTTACCATGGGTGGGGGGATATGCCTCTAATGATTTTTTTATAACTGAACAAAAAATTTATAATTGATTAGTTGGTAATGATAACTGGTATATGATATAATAAACCAGATTTGAGAGTTCTTAAGATACATGGTTTATTAGGTGCAATCCAGTTAAAAACTATCAACATTGTTTTGTCTTAGGTAAGCATTCATTCCTCTTTTCAGAAATACTAAGATTTGGTTTAATTACCATTGATTAAGCATGGTTTCCATTTAGTCTATACAGTTGACCCTTGAACAGCATGGAGGTTAGGGATACCAATCTCCCTCAAAGTCAAAAATCTGTGTCCAACTTTTAACTCACCCAAAGCATATCTGATATCCTGCTGTTGACCAGAAGCCTTGCTGATAACATAGTCAGTTACCACTTTTTTTTGGTCTTTTTGAGACAGGGTCTCACTGTCACCCAGGCTAGAGTACACTGGGGTGAACATAGCTCATTTCAGCCTTGGCCTGCTGGGCTCAAGTGATCCTCTCACCTCAGCCTCCCAAGTAGCTGAGACTATAGGTGCATGCCACCATGGCCAGCTCATTTTTAAATTTTCTGTAGAGATAGAGTCTCACTGTGTTGCCCAGTCTGATCCAAACCCCTCACCTCAAGCAGTCCTCCCACCTCAGCCTCCCAGAGTGTTGGGATTACAAGCATGAGTCAACACACCTGGCCCACATATTTTATATGTTGTATATATTATATTAAGGTAGAGGGAAAAAAACGTTATTAGGAAAATCTTAAGGAAGAGAAAATATATTTACTGTTCATTACATGGAAATAGATCATCATAAAGGTCTTCATCCTCATTGTTTTTATGTTGAGAAGGCAGAGGAGGGTTCATCTTCTTGTCTTAGCGGGGGCAGATTGAGAAGAGGTGGAGCAGGTGGAAGGGGAGGCTGGAGAGGTAAGCACACTTAGTATGGTGTCTACTGAAAAAAAGCCACGCATAAAAGGACCTGCAAAGTTCACATTTGTGTTGTTCAAGGGTCACCTGTATATGAAAGTTGTACCTTCTACACTATATAGACTGTTAAAAGTATTGTCTCACCATGAAGGGTGAGATCCTTGGATAGACATGGAAGCATTGATTTTGATTTTGATTTTGTTTATTCATGGCATTTTTACTCTTAATGAAAAACCACTTTTGAAACTGATCTTGGCCAGGCTCAGTGGCTCATGACTAATCCCATCATTTTTGGAGGCCAAGGTGGGTGGCCTCAGGAGTTCAGGAGTTCAAGACCAGCCTGGACAACATGGTGAAATCCTCTCTCTACGAAAATACAAAAATTAACCTGGCATGGTGGTACATGGCTGTAGTCTGGGGTGGGAGAATCACCTGAGTCTGGGAGGCTGTGGTGAGTTGTGATTGCACCACTGCATTCCAACCTGAGATTCTGTCTCAAAGGGGGAGGGGGAAAAGAAGAATTGATCAATCTGACTTTTTTTTAGATTGCCAAGCTGTAGTGCAATCACACGATCTCCGCTCACTGCAACCTGCACCTTACACGTTTAAGCAATTCTCCTGCCTCAGCCTCCCGAGTAGCCAGGATTATAGGCATGCGCCACTACACATGGCTAAATTTTGTATTTTTAGTAGAGACAGGGTTCTCCATGTTGGTCAGGCTGATATCCAACACTTGACCTCAGGTGATCCGCCTGCCTCAGCCTCCCAAAATGCTGGGATTACAGGCATGAGTAACCGTGCCTGGCCCAGTCTGATTTTAAACTACTCATCTTATTCTACATAGAAAGTAATTTATTATAGAAGGTTATTTATTTCAGGATGGGTGCAGTGGCTCACTCCTGTAATCCTAGCACTTTGGGAGGCTGAGGCAGACAGATGAGTCACTTCAGGCTAGGAGTTTGAGAGTAAGCCCGGCCAACATGGTGAAACCCCCCTCTCTTATAAAAATACAAAATTAGCTGGGTGTAGTGGCACACATTATTTGTTTCAGATAACATTTGTAAAAACCTAACATTGAAAGTCAGTGTGATTCCTTGGAACTAGTTATAGAGCTGGCAAACTTGAGAGTCTACCCTGTTTTTTTTTTTTTTTTTTTTTTCCTTCTGAGCTTGAGGGCTGAGTAAAACCCAAGGAGAGCATCATTTTCTGAATACAGTTATTGCTCAGTCTTAGTAATCCTAGGGAGTTTAAACAATTTTTTTAAGTATGACTTAGTAGTAGAAGGCACTATATTCCTTTTTATACTAGAGTTTCAAGATTTTTTTTATTTTATCAAATTGCTTTGTTACTCTAATAACAATGCTAATGTTGTACCATAATCAAAATGTGCCTTTCATGGTTGATTACAGTATGCCCAAGTAAAAGTCTGTTTTCTTTTTCAGCTATCAAGAGCTTTGTTTCCCACTGTGGTGATCTCCTTACTGAGGAAGTAACTCAGCGTCTTCTTCCACCACTTCCTTGTGCTGTGGATTTGCTAACTCAGTAAGGATCAACTATTTAGATTTGATAAAATTTTCTAAGAGGAATTAGTTACCCTCTGATTCTGTAATATTCCTTAAGTACATTAATAAGGCAAATTTCTATAGTTGGTGAATGATTTTGTAGAGGAAGGTAATCAGTTAGTTATATGATTTGTTTTTTTTTTTTAGGCTAGGATCTTGAAAGAAAAATACATATTAAAAGGGAAGGAAAATTTTGGGGGAATAATGTACCTTCCATACAGGCAGATTTAACAAGAAATTAAATATTAATCCACTTAACCTTTTCAGGTATGCATTTTATTGGTTTGTTAGTGTATTTTGTGTTCGTGAGAACCAGATACTTGTTAACAGTTTCAGTGTTTTGTTTATATTTTTCATAACTTTGAGTTATACATATATGATTAAAACATAGGGAAAAGCCAATATATAATATCATCACTTGTAATTTCCAAATTAATAAAACATGCAGAAAGTTCTTTTCAAAAAGCATCTAATGATTAAACTTTATATATACAGAAAAATACATTTAAGATGTGGCTCATAAAGTATAGTAATAAAATGTGCACTTGTTAATCCAACACAGCCTGAGCAGAGGTTTGTGAATGTTTCTTCCAAAGGAGCAGACAGTAAATATTTTAGTATTTACAAGCTATGAAGTCTATGTTGCAACCATTCAACTCTCATTGTTGCTCAAAAGCAGTCATAGATAATATTATGGTAAATGAATGAATGACGAATGTGGCTGTGCTCCAGTAAAACTTTTTTTTACAAAAACAGGCAGTGCGTCATAATTTGACTACCACTGGACTAGAGCGTTAATGATACTATTGATGATATCTATGTGCCCCCCTTCAGCACCATTCTTTCTGCCTTCCTTTAGAAGCAACCACTAATCTGAGTTTTATAGTTGTCATTTCCTTGCATTTTAAAAAAGCGTATCACATATTTTTGTTTCTTAAAATAGTATGTTGTTTAGGTTTGCTTGGTTTTGATCAGGCAAAAATTATTGTCCTGTTTCTGGTACTTGCTCTTGTTATTCAACATTATGTTTCTAAGTTTTACCTATGTTTAAGTTCATTTATTTTGGTTGCTGTATAATATTTAATTGTGTGCATATACAACAACATTGATTCTCTTGTCCATTGGCTTCTGGGTTGTTTCAGTTTTCTGCTTTTAAAGGTAATGCTATGACCATTCTTACTCAAGTGTTTAGGCCTCTAGGGTATATACCTAGTAGTGAAATTGCTATGCTAAAATGTATTTCTATGTTCATCTTCAAAAAATAATGCCAAATTATTTTTCAGTGTTCTGTATTTCTAACAATAGTGTAAGTACCCTTTGATCCACTTTTTCACCCACACTTACTCAGATATCAATTCTACCCCCATCCAATAGATATAAAATGGTATCTCATGGTTTTAATTGTATATCGGTTTCCTGAAAGTTTAAGTATAATTTTATATATTTGTTTTTTTCTCAGTATTCCCCCTCCTCTTCCTATGAAATGTGTGTTCATTCATACTGTTAACCTATTTTTCTTGTCTTTTTGTTGCTTATTTATAAGAGCTTTTTGCTTTTGTTTTTTGTGTTATTTGTTTTTAGAGTCTTACCCTGTTGCCCAGGCTAGAGTGCAGTGACATGATCTTGGCTGACTGCCACCTCCGCCTCTCGAGTTCAAGTGATTCTCCTGCCTTCTCCTCCTGAGTAGCTGGTATTACAGGCATGCACCACCATTCCCAGTTAATTTTTGTATTTTTAGTAGAGATGAGGTTTCACCGTGTTGACCAGGCTGGTCTCAAATTCCTGACCTCAGGTGATATACCCGCCTTGGCCTCCCAATATCTGTCAGCCACTGTGCCCAGCCAGGTTGTTTTTTTGTTTGTTTTTTGAGACAGAGTCTTGCTCTGTTGCCTGTGCTGGAGTGCATTGGTGTGACCTCCACTCACTGCACCCTCTGCCTCCTGGGTATAAATGATTCTCCAGCCTTGGTCTCACGAGTAACAGATTACAGGCATTCACCACCATGCCTGGCTAATTTTTGTATTTCTAGTAGAGACAGGATTTTGCCATGTTGGCCACACTGGTTTTGAACTTCCGGCCTCAAGTGATTTGCCCGCTTCAGCCTCCCAAAGTGCTGGGATTATAGGCATGAGCCACCGCGCTCAGCTTTTTTTGTTTAAAAATTCTTGCTGGCTTGGGCAGGGGGTTCATGTCTGTAATCCTGGTGCTTTGGGAGGCCAAGGTGGGAGGATTGCTTGAGGCCAGAAGTTCGAGACCAGCCTGAGCAACATAGGAGGGTCTCATCTCGACCAAAACAAAACAAAAGCCAGACATAGTGATGTTTACTAGTAGTCCTAGCTACTCAGGAGGCTGAGGCAGGAATGATTGCTTGAGCACCGTAATTCAAGGCTGTAGTCATGATTGCGCCACTGCTCTCCAGCCTGGATGACAGAGCAAGACTCCAGTTAAAAAAACAAAAAAGCCTTACTGCAAAGTTTTATTTTCTTATATTTCTCTATGAAATGTTTGACGGTTTGTCTTTAAGTAATCTGAAACTGATTTTTCTATTTGGAGTGAGCTAGGGATCATAGTCCATTTGTGCTGCTATGTTGCTATCACAAAATACCTGGATAATTCATTAAAAAACAGTTATTTATAACAGTTCTGGAGGCAGGAGTCCAAGATCAAGATACCAGCAGATTTTGTGTCTGGTTAGAACCTGCTGTTTACCTCCAAGGTGTCACCTTATTGCTGCATTCTCTAGAGGGGAGGAACTCTGTCTTCTTCACATGGCAAAGGGATGGAAGGGCAAAAAAGGGTTAAACTCCCTCGGTGAAGCCCTTTTATGACATTAATCCATTTGTGAGTGCTTTGCCTTCGTGACCTGAACATCTACCTAAAGGCCCTACCTCCCAGCAGTACTGCATTGGGGATTAAGTTTCTAGTACATGAATTTTGGAGGACATATTCAGACCATAGCAGGATTCTATTTCGTTTTCTTTTTAAATGTGGATAGCAATTGTCCCATACTTTTCTAAAAAAAATCCATACTTCCTTCAATGATTGCCATTCATTCCTGTCACGTATTCTCATTTATACAAGATCTATGTTTGTGCTCTCTATTGATGTGTTTGTTTATATGCCAACATGTTATCTTTATAATACATTTTATATGTTAGATTGAGCCTTTTGACCTTATTCCTCTTTAGACATATTTTGGCCCTGCATGCACTTTTGATCTTCTATTGAAATTTTATTTGGAGCCAGACGAGGTGGCTCAGGCTGTAATCCCAGCACTTTGGGAGGCTGAGGCAGGCAGGTCATTTGAGGTCAGGAGTTCAAGACCAACCTGGCCAACATGGTGAGACCCCATCTGTACTAAAACAAAATATATATACAAAAATTAGCTGAGTGTTGTGGCACACACCTGTAATCCCAGCTACTTGGGAAGCCAAGGCAGGAGAATCACTTGAACTTAGGAGGAAGAGGCTGCAGTGAGCCAACATCATGCCACTGCACTCCAGCCTGGGTGACAGAGTGAGACTCCATCTCAAAAAAATAAATAAATAAAAGAAATTTTACTTGAGATTGCATTGAATCTCTGGATAAATTTGAAGATAATGCATAGTTTTACAACACCTGTGAACATGATACCTGTTTACTATTATTGAGGTGTTTTACAAAGTTGAATTTTTTTGAAGTAGGTGTATAGTGTGTGTAATCTGTTTATTGCTGCTGTATAACAATGTATTTTTATCCAACCACCTTGCTGAATTTTCTCATGTTAAACATTAATTTGTAGATTCATCTGGATTTTTCCTTTTACAATATTGTTTCTCTGTTCCTTCTGTGCTAACTATATTAGATAACTGCCATTTAAAACTAAATTAGAAATGGTTAAAGGGAATGCTTTTCATGTTTTACTGATAAGAATGATGTTCCCTCCAGCTTTTTTAGTAGATACTCTTATCAGATTAAGAGAGTAGCCTCCTATTCCTAGTTTGATTTGGTGAAAGTTTCTTAAAATGAATGGGTTTTACACCCCATCATGGGTGCAACTCTAGTCTCAGATCCTTGTGTTGTTACTAATACTAGTGTTGGTATTGATAAAGGGGCTGGTTGGCCCTACCCCAATAGAAAGTCTCTTTCTATAAGTCTAACAATGCAAATTATCTTTATCCTGATAAAAGACTTATTATACTTACCTAAGTAAGGAGCAGAAAGGCCCTGCTGGGACTATAATCTGCCCTCCTAATGAAAGCAGAAACCAATAAAAATGCTTTTCTAAATTCTTTTGTTTTATTCATCTTTTTTAAAAAAAAATACAGAATTCTCTGAACTAAATTTTATTATATTTAAAATAAGTGAATGTTGCAGGATCTTTAGAAATATAATTTCTTAACATCTCATGAATATGATTGAAATATTTTTTATATGTTAGCTATTTATTTCTAATTTGGCCTTAGAGAAATAAAAAAAATGCCATGGATTTATTCTTAACTTTGGTAACTAAAAAATTCTACTAAAATAAAGGTTTTTGTTTTTGTTTAGAGACACTGTTTCAGTGTGTTGCCCAGGATGGAGTGCAGTGGTGCAGTCATGGAGTGCAGCGGCACAGGATGGCGTTTGAGTCACTGTATCCTCAAACTCCTGTGCTTAAGTGATCATCTGGCTTCAGTCTCCCAAAATGTTGGAATTACAAGTGTGAGCCTCCATCACTTCTGGCCTTACCCAGGTGTTATAATTATGTTTGCTGAATAGTATTTACCAAGCTGAAAGATACTAAATGGAACCAACAGTTAAAAATAATGCAATGATAAGTCAATAGATAACTCTCCTTTCTTCTAGACACTAAAAATAGCAAAGCACTAGTTTCTAGAAATTACAGTTGGCTAGGCATGGTGGCTCACGCCTGTAATCCCAACACTTCAGGAGGCCGAGGTGGGCGGATTACTTGAGCCCAGGAGTTTCAGACCAGCCTGGGCAACATGGCAAAACCCTATCTCTACAAAAAATACAAAAATTAGGCAGACATGGTCTCCCACACTTGTGGTCCCAGCTACTTGGGAGACTGAGGTGGGAGGATCACTTGAGCCCAGGAGGTTGAGGCTACAGTGAGCTGAGATCACACCAGTACACTCCAACCTGGGCGACAGAGCGAGACCCCGTCTCAACCACACCAAAAAATGACTCAACATCGCCAGAATTTATTAGAGAACCTGGGAACCTCATGCTGTAACAGTTAAGCAAATTTATTCCAGTGACATAATAAAAGTAATTTCATTGAATTTCTGTATTGTTAAGGATGAAACCCATGCTCTAGTTGATTACGTACCTTGTTAAGAGTAGTAGTCTTAGCAAATGTTTGTTGAATGAATGAGCGTTGGTAAAGTGACGTCTTAGCACCAATAAGAAAGGTGAACAGATGATAAAGAAGAGTACGTGAAAATGAAAGGAGAGAGTGAAGAAAGATCCTAAGATAATTTGTGGCCAGGTGTGATGGCTCGGGCCTGTAATCCTAGCACTTTGGGAGACTGAGGTGTAAGGATTGCTTGAGCCCAGGAGTTTGAGACCAGCCTGGACAACATGGCAAAACCCGTCTCTACCAAAAATACAAAAAAAATTAGCCAAGCATGGTGGTCCAAGCCTGCAGTTCCAAGCTACTCAGGAATCCAAGGTGGGAGACTGGTTTGAACCCAGAAGACAGAGGTTGTAGTGAGCCAGGATCATGCCACTGTACCCCATTCTGGGCTACAGAGCTGGACCCTGTTTCAAAAAAGAAAAATCAAGCAGCACTAATGTTCGTTAATAAGATATATAACTTATATGTTAAGATGTTAAGCTGTCAGTTTTTGTATATTGTTATATAACTTAACCACTTAAAATATACTTTTTCTTTTATTTTAAGGCTTTCTTCAATACTAAAAACGTATGGAAGTCCTTTGAAAACACCATCAGTGGTTTATAGACAAAGACTTTATGAACTGTTGGTTTTATTGCCTCCTGAGACCTATGAAGGTATGTGCCTTAGACCAAAAGGTTTTGTTGTTTGTGGCTAGTATAGTTCCCGGAAAGTTATTGTTACTCATTAAGTACTTAAATGAATTATAATGGCAGTTATTTAGTGCCTTGTTTCTAGAAGATTTAGGGAATTCAGTTCTAATCCAGGTGTTCACCATTTTATGGTAAATAAATACATTCGGGGTTTTGTTTTGGTTTTTGTTTTAATTTTTTTTGAGACAGGGTTTCACTCTCTCACCCAGGCGGGTGTGCAGTGGTAAGCAATCATGGCTCACTTCATCCTTGACCTTGGGCTCAAGTGACCTTCCTACCTCAGCCTCCTGGGTAGCTGATACTATAGGCACACTACCATGCCCAGCTAATTTTTTGTATATTTGGAAGAGATGGGGTTTTGCCATGTTGCCCAAGCTGGTCTCGAACTCCTGGGCTCAAGCAATTCTCCCACTTTGGCCTCCCAAAGTGCTGGAATTGCAGGTGTGAGCTATTGCGCCCAGCCTAAAATACGTTTTTTTAAAAAAGCATCAGGCAGTATACTAGAAATTGTATCTATCATATCTTGTTTATCCTAGGATGATATAGTGAAGTAGTTACATTTTTCTTAACTCAAGAACACATATCTGGTAAAGAGTAGAGTCAAGATTAAAACATAAGTTTGCCTCATGCTGTGCTGCTGCCTTTTCTAAGTAACCTGTTTAGAGACTTAACAGTCTGATACGTCTATCTTATTCTGTGCCATCTATCAATAAAAAAATTACTTGTTAGATATCTAGTATAAAGCTGAGAGATAATTTCTGTGTTCCACAGCTCAGATAACTGTTAGGTTGTGACAAAAGCTGTTTTCTTCAGAATTTTACAGTAGTATCTTTAAATTTATTTTCAGACTAAAATAAACTTTTTTTTTAAAGACAGTCTTGTCTGTTGCCCAGGCCTTGAGCACAGTGGCGTGATCTTGGCTCACTGCAACCTCTGCCTCCCAGATTCAGTCGATTCTCCTGCCTCAGCTTCCCAAGTAGCTGGGACTGCAGATACGCACTACCACGCCTGGCTAATTTGTGTTTTTAATAGAGATGGGGTTTCACCATGTTGACCAGGCTGGTCTTGAACTTTTGACCTCACATGATCCACCCTCCTCAGCTTCCCACAGTGCTGGGATTACAGGTGTGAACTCCTGACTTCAGGTGATCTGCCCTCCTTGGCTTCCCTAAGTTCTGGGATGGCAGGCATGAGCGACTGTGCCCAGCCAAAAGGACTACTGCTCAACTCTTCATCAAACATTTAGGAATACAAGAATCACTACTTAAAATCTACGGTGTATCTTCTGATAAGTTATGATGTAAGTCTGTTTTTTTTTTATATATGGGGCCTCACTCTGTCATCCATGCAGTGATCATGGCTCACTGCAGTCTTGACCTCCCAGGCTCAAGTGATCCTCCCACCTCAGCCTCCCAAGTAGCTGGGACTACAGGTGTATGCCACCACTCCTGGCTAGTTTTTTGTTTTCGTTTTTGTTTTTTTGTCATTTTGTAGTGACTAGGTCTTGCTATGCTGCCCAGGTTGTTCTCAAATTTCTGGGCTTAAGTGATCCTTCTGCCTTGGCATCTCAGAGTGTTGGGATTACAGGCATGAGCCACTGGGCACGCCCTGATAATGTAAGTCTTACCCTTTAAAAAACTTGAATTAGAGGAAAAAGTCTTGAAGTCTTCTACTTTTTTTTTTTTAACTTGGATTTTCTCAGAATTGGGGTTTGGAAATGCAATCAGGAGTCCTAAAGGAATAATGAATATATGTGTGTGTGTCAAATCAGTTTCAGAGACAAAATCAGGACTTATTATGAACTTCTGGAAAAAACAAACTCTAGGCCGGGCACAGTGGCTCACACCTATAATTCCAGCACTTTCGGAGGCTAAGGCAGACGGATCATTTAAGGTCAGGAGTTCAAGACCAGCCTAGCCAACATAGTGAAATTCTGTCTCTACTACAACTACACAAAAAAAAAATTAGCTGGGCATGGTGGTGCATGCCTGTAGTCTAAGCTACTCAGGAGGCTGAAGCAAGAGAATCACTTGAACCTGGGAAGCAAAGGTTACAGTGAGCTGAGATGAAGCCACTGCACTCCAGCCTGGGCAGCAGAGTGGGACTCCATAACAAAATAAAGTTCTGATTTTTATCAGTCACTCCAATGTATTGTCAAAGAGTCAGTTTCTAGGGCATAATAAGAAATTGCTTTTGTCACCTGGAATGTATTTAAGAATTGAAATAACTTTTCTTCATGATTATACAGCAGATGTAGACTTAGAGTCTTAGAGTGACTTAGTTTTCCAAATGATTGGAGTGAAAATTGAGTTCTTAGTTTTTATTTCCTGTCTTAGTTTTGGTATGGATTTCTTTTCAAATATTTTAATATTCTCTACACTGAAAATAACTCATCAGCAAGTCAGTGATACATTTTTATGCAAAAGTTTATTTGCATTTCAAAATTATCTTAATTACCTTTAGATACTTTTTCCAGGGACAGTTAGCCAAGTAAACACTTTAACTGAGAAGCAGAGATTTTCTAATTTTTTCACACACAGCTGTAGGAACAAACATACCTTGTATATTGTACTACCAACAGAATTATTTTCCTAAGTGTCATATGCTGGCTGTTAAACGTAGACATTCCTTTGAGCAGCTCTCCTTTGCTTCATTAAGACTTCACTGATCCTGTCCACTCTTCCTAATTCATGTTTGTAATCTCTCCCTAAATTAATAGTGCTTTTGTTTTTATCTTTTATGAAACATAATAGTTCCTGTGTTCATATTATATGTATGTATTGGTACCCCATAATGTATACCTTCTTGAAAGGAAGATTAAATATAATAAAAATTTTCATTCCTTATGGCTGAAAAAAAAAGAAAAAATGATAAATATAATAAAAATTTTTCTCCGTAGCATATTAAACACAATTTAGATGGACAAATGATTCAGCATGGTGGTTCAAAGCTCAAATTCTGACAGCCGGATGCAGTGGCTCACGCCTGTAATCACAGCACTTTGGGAGGCCAAGGCGGGTGGATCACGAGGTCAAGAGATCGAGACCATCCTGGCCAACATAGTGAAACCTGGTCTCTACTAAAATTACAAAAATTAGCTGGGTGTGGTGACGCACACCTGTAGTCCCAGCTACTCAGGAGGCTGAGGCAGGATAATTGCTTGAACCCGGGAGGCAGAGGTTGCAGTGAGCCGAGTTCGCGCCACTGCACTCCAGCGTGGCACTTGGCGATGGAGTGAGACTCTGTCTCAAAAAAAAAAAAAAGCTCAAATTCTGGAGCCTGATTAATTGGGTTTCAGTCTGGCAGATATGTAATCACTATATGATCTCTGGCAAGTAATAAATTCTCTGTTCCTTTTTCCTTACTTGTAAAACAACATACTAACCTGACCTCATTAGGTTACTGTGAGCGTTATACGTAAAGCTTTTAGGAAATTTCCAGACACATATTAAGTATTCAGTAAGCCAAGCATTGTGTGTAATCTCAGTTATTGAGGAGGTTGAGACAGGAGGATCACTTGAGGCTTGGAGTTAGAGATTAGCTTGGGCAATATTGTGAGGCCCCATCTCTTAAAAATATGTATATATAAACTTCAATAAATATTTGTTGTTGGCTGGGCGTGGTGGCTGATGCCTGTAATCCCAGCACTTTGGGATTCGAGGCGGGCAGATCACTTGAGGTTAGGAGTTGGAGACCAGCCTGACCAACATGGAGAAACCCTGTCTGTACTAAAAATACAAAATTAGCTGGGCATGGTGGCACATGCCTGTAATCCAAGCTACTCTGGAGGCTGAGGCAGGAGAATCGCTTGAACCCAGGAGGCAGAGGTTGCAGTGAGCCAGGATCGTGCCCTTGCACTCTAGCCTGGCCATCAAGAGCAAAACACTGTCTCAAAAAATAAAAAATAAATATATAAATATTTGTTGTTACTACCGTTACTGCTGCTGATGTTACAGAAGGTGATGGCAAGTAAATCCTTCCTAACTCATCCTGCCACTTCTGATTGGTGGGTATCACCCCAGTCCTCATTTCATCCTGATGCAGTTGCCCAAAGAAACACTTGGAATGGTATAAAAAAATGCTTATACCATTAAATGGGTACTGCAGGATTTTTACTTATTCCTGCAGTACTTAAGTTACAAACTGGCAAAAGCCATTTAAGCTATCTGGATAAAATGTTTTGATAATCCAACAGAAGTTAGGATAAAACATCTTTGAGGTGATCATTGCAGTCAGTGTGATAAATGGATTAGCTTTTCAGTGTGTTTGTTAGAGACAACCATATATTGTCTCTAGTCTTATGGGAGAACACAATACTCATTTATGAACTAACCTGTACCACCCTGCCCCCCAACCAAAAAGAAAAATGAGCCCCTTCTAGATCCAACTACCACTTTATATTTTTTTAAAAGTACAAATAGAACAAATTATACCAGGGGCATATAATCATAAAAATTCAGACTGTAGAAAATTGTACAAAACAAATAACCTTGTTTCTTCAAATAAATTACCTGTGGGGGGAAGGTATAGGGAAAATATTAAATTGAAAGAGACAAGATAAACTAGCTGCAACGTGTATACCTTATTTAGATCTAGATACAAACATAGAAGCAAGCAAAAACAGGCATTTATGAGATAGTTGGAAATTTGAATGCTGAATGGGAATCTGATTTTAGTGTTTTTTTTTTTTTTTACAACATGAGATTATGATGGTAGAATTATGTTCAAAATAAAACATTTCACTTCAGTGATGTACAATGAAATATTTGTGGATGAAATGATATGCTGCCTAGGGTTTTCTTAAAAATAATGTGGAGGAATGTGGGATCAGGAATGGAGATGTAGATGAAAGGATATTGTTCTAGCTGGTAAAGATGAATAATGAGCATATGCTGGAAGAGGCGGAGGCAGTCATCTTAGTGCTATTATATATTCTATTTATATTTGAAATTTTTCATAATAACATGTCTAAGTTTTTTCAGACTAATTCTTTCCCTTTTTTTTGAGGCAGAGTCTCATTCTGTTGCCCAGGTTGGAGTGCAGTGCCTCAATCTTGGCTCACTGCAACCTCCACCTCCTAGGTTCAAGCAATTCTCCTGCCTTAGCCTCCTGAGTAGCTGGGATTACAGGCACCTGCCACCATGGCCGGCTAATTTTTGTGTTTTTAGTAGAGATGGGGTTTTGCCATGTTGGCTAGGCTGCTCTTAAACTCAAGTGATCTGCCCGTCTCCGCCTCCCTAAGTGCTGGGATTACAGGTCTGAGCCACCGCACCCCTGGCCTCAGGCTAATTCTTACAAATTTTTTTGGACTGCTTGTTTTAAAAAAAATCTGCTTTTGTAAATCTTCTTTTACATCTATTTTTATATTTTGTATCATGTTATACCGTAAGGCATGTATACAAATACACATACTTTGAGATGTTTTTTTAGTATCCATTCTTTTTTTTTTTTTTCCCCAAGATGGGGTTTCACCATGATGGCCAGGCTGGTTTTGAACTCCTGACCTCAGGTGATCCACCCACCTTGGCCTCCCAAAGTACCTGGATTACAGGTGTGAACCACCACGCCCGGCTTAGTATCCATTCTTAACCTTGCAACTAGCATTCTAGTCACAAGGAGCCAGTCCTAGAAATGGACCAGTCATTTCTAGGGCAATTTTCAAGGATAAAAAATACAATCTTCGGCTGTGATATGTTAAAGTTGGCCAGTGGGTGCATTAAAGCTAAACCTGAGTTTTAAGCCCCATGCTCTCACCAGATAACCAATAATACTAATTGCTCTTTTTCTGTGACTCAACAGGAAACATCTGTGCCATCCTCAAAGAGCTGGCTGCTGACTTGACTGCCCCTGATACCCAGGTGGCAGCATCTACATTTTTACTTCCACCCCTCTGTCATCAGGATGATCTTTTGATATTAAGTCCTTTGCTACAAGAAACTGACCATAGATTTATTGAAGAGCAAGTATGGCCATTTTTAACTCTTAAGTAGATTCAATCTGTGACCAGTGATTTTAAAACCTTACATAGTTTTTTTTCCCTTTTAGCTCCTGCTTGGTAATGGTATTGCTTGCGGAAGTCTTGAATATGACCCTTACTCTGTTTATGAGAAAGACGTAGAGGGAGATTCAGTGCCTAAGCCCCTACCTCCAGCACTATCAGTTATTGGTTCTGCAGCCAAACTCTTTGGGGTTGTATGTGCTCATGTGGGAGTAACTCAAAGGTAAACATCTTCAATGTTTCAGTGAATGCATAATAGAGAACTGCTGGGTAAGAAGAATGTTGCCAGAAGATCTCATTAGCTTAAATGATTTCTTATAAATGACAGGTGAAGCTGAAATGAAAGTTCTTGTTTAATTATTCACTTGGCTAATATTTAATAAGATGATTACGTACGTAAAACCACTAGAACTATTGTGGTACAATACTTTGCCCACATTTAGCTTATCATCTATCGGAAAATATGAATGAAAAATAGTGACATAAGAATATTGATTTATGAGCAATTATTACAAAGACATATACTAGGTTTTTTCCAAGACTAGGTCTCATAGGCTTTCTTACTTTGGAAAATTTTTTGGAACCATTATGGGTCCAGATATTTGTTTTCAGTTGAGTGGATTTTAAATGGTTTTTATGAGTTCACTTAAAATGGACTTTAGACCTGTGGTTCCCAACCATTTAGGCACCAGGGATCGGTTTTGTGGAAGATAGTTTGTCCATGGGGTAGGGGTAGGTGGAGGTTTCAGGATAAAACTGTTCCACCTCAGATCATTAGGCGTTGTGAAGAGTGCAAAACCTAGATCCCTCACATGTGCAGTTCACAATAGGGTTCATGCTCCTGTGAGAATCTAACGCTGCTGCTGATCTGACAGGAGTGGGGCTCAGATAATAATGCTCGCTTGCTAGCTGCTCACCTCCTGCTGTGCAGCCCCGTTTCTGACAGTCCATGCACCATTACCAGTCCATGGCCCAGGGGTTGGGGACCCCCTACTTTAGAAAACACACACACACACACACGCGCGCGCGCGCGCGCGTAATGGATATTTATTATTAACTTCATCGTGGTCATCTATTTCACTATGTATATGTGAGCGAAGCATCATTAAAAACATCATGTTGTACACCTTATGTATATATGCAGTATTTATTTGCCAATTATACCTCAATAAAACTAGGGGGGAAAGGGTATGACTAACAGTATTGATGCATATTGTGTAGGGATTTCCATCTTATGCTATTGTGTGTGAAAAATTAATAAATACAAGATGTCCTCCCCAAAAAATGAACTTTTGTTTTGAAAAACCAAAGGCTGATAATAATTTCTTGTTGAGAATGAATAGTTTAATTAGTAACTGAATATATACATTTCTCAGGCATACAAATCCACTATCCAGGAAATTCTGTTACTGTCTAAAAAACTAAATGGGAAGTGAATCTCTCTCATAGGCTATTCTGGTTAATAGTTTACAAATCACTATTATCCACACTGATTCATTCATTCATTTCTTCCTCTCTCTCAACCAGCAACAATGCTTTTGACTAGATCATAGCTTTTATTACATCTTCTTATCCACTTATATCTTCCAGCGGCTACCAGTTAGAGAATTTACCTCGATCTCTTTGGTGAATACTTAGAAAAATATTTTAGTTTCATCAGCATTGCCTCTCTGAAACAGGTCTTGTGATAATTTGCTTTTATTGCATAGAAAAATAAATGAAATTTATATTGATTTTTACTAGCTTCAATTTCAAAAGATAATGTTTCTCCCAGAGGTAGCATTTCCTGTATACACTGTAACTATAAGGTTATGGTGATAAGAGAATATATGACTGAATTATTAATGAACAAAAGATAAGAGGAAAATTACAGTGGTTTGGAATATTCAAAGAAAGATACATGGAGAGGATGAAATTTGAATTAGTCTCTACCTTTTTATAAAGCATATACTTTAAAATAATTAATTTGGATTAATATAACAATAACTACTATGGATGAAACAGGGCTGGCCTTTTAAGCAAATGATTAAGCATGCTCTTAAATGGCTCCACTATCTTTGATGGTGGAAAAGCAAAAAAGAAAATACACTTTTTATAGCCTTTGCTCTTAAAAATGTGATTTTATTATTCTAGAGAAGTTTTCTTTTTGGATTTATTGCCTAATTGTAGTTTCGGGAAGATGCTTTCTTATTAAAATTAATGAAATTTTTAGTGGACTCATACTTTTTGTATCCCCACCTAAATTATAATAGTAATAATGAATATTCAAGGAAGGGGAAGTTTTGTTTGTTTTAATAAAAACATTGAGAACAGATAAAACCAAACCCTATCACTCTGTTTGAATTCTAACTGAAAAAAATGATAGATGGCCAGGTGCAGTTGCTTACACCTGTAACCAAGCACTTTGGGAGTCCAAGCAGGCGAATTGCTTCAGCCCAGCAGTTTAAGGGCAGCCTAGGCAACGTGGCAAAACCCCTTCTCTCAGAAAATACAAAAATTAGCCGTGCATGGTGGTGTGCAACTGTAGTGCCAGCTACTCAGGATTCAGAGGTGGGAGGATAGCTTGGACTGTGAGGTAGAGGTTGCAATGAGTCAAGATCTCACCACTGCACTCCAGCCTGAGCAATAGAGTAAGACCCTGTCTAAAAACATATATATATATATATATGTATGTATATATAGAATTGGTCTGGCAAGATCCCACATACACAAAATGAGTCATAAGCAATTATCAGCAGTCTCCAGTAGATGTCATTACAGAACCAGAAGAGGGAAACTACATGAATAGGGAAGTTTCTAATTTCCTGTTATCACAGATATGATATTTATGTAAGTTATCAGGCTCTTTCTTTTTTGGCCTTATATTTGAGTTTTAGAGAAGAAAGGTCTTAATTAAAGTATCTATATTTAAACAGCAACTGAATATTTCAAGCCGTTTTGTTGTTATTGTGGTTAGCCTTATGTTTAAACAGTTGTGTAATGTGATTACCCTAAGGTTGGACATGATATGTATGTAATATAAATTAATACACAATTTATTGTGTAATTGTCTTTTAAATTAGTTGATTCTATTCTGACTGTAGGATTCTAATGCAAAAATGTTTAAAGGTTAGAAAGTCAAGTTATTTTATACACAAAAGAATAATATTGATCTCAATCATGTACTGTTGGTGGTTTTTTTTTTTTTTCTTTGAGACAGCTCAGGCTGGAGTGCAGTGGTACAATCTTGGCTCACTGCAACCTCCACCTCCTGGGTTTCAAGAGATTCTCCTGCCTTAGCCTCCCAAGTAGCTGGGATTACAGGCATGCATCACCATGCCTGGCTGATTTTTGTATTTTGTGGAGATGGTTTTTCATCATTTTGGCCAGGTTGGTCTTGAGCTACTGACCTCAACTGATCCACCTGCCTCTGCCTCCCAAAGTGCTAAGATTACAGACATGAGCCACTGTGCCCAACCTGGTTGTGGTTACTTTATTTTTTGTTTTGTTTTGTTTGAGACAGAGTTTCACACTGTCACCCAGGTTGGAGTGCAGTGGTACCATCTCAGTTCCCTGCAGCCTCCGCCTCCCAGGTTCAGGTGATTCTCCTGCCTCAGCCTCCCAAGTAACTGGGACTACAGGCACGTGCCACCACGCCCGGCTAATGTTTGTATTTTTAGTAGAGTTGGGGTTTTGCCACATTGGCCAGGCTGGCCTTGAACTCCTGACCTCAGGTGATCCACCCACCTTAACCTCCCGAAGTTTTGGGATTACAGGTGTGAACCATTGATTCCAGCCTTCGTTCGTGGTTGCTTTTAAATAGATTTTCACCTAATTGCAAAGAATTTCTTAATTCACCTGAGGATTGTTCCACCCTTGACTTGCACATTGGAATTACCTAGACAAATTTAAAAAATACTGAAGATCCTGGTTAGTATGGTATACATACTGTGGTGGTGGGTGCTGAAATTTTTTAAACGCCTTAGGTGATTCTGTTAAATGGACTGCTTCAACAAATGATGTCTGTCACTTGTAAATGGATGGACAGAGAGGAAAAGCTTAAACAGTTGTAATTCTCAGTATTAAAATTTTGCCATTATATACCCTCTGTCTAAAGACTGTATACTGTGTATACACTTTGTCTAAAGGGTATATAAATGTAAAATGTATAATGTAAAATAAATCGGCATTTTCAAATGTTACATCTTCACCCTTTATTCAGTTAACTGTATTTTTATTACATCTAGACTCAAAACTTTTAGTATCTATCATTTCATTCCAAAATGATAATTACAATATTATAATTGATACTACTAACAGTACTAATTGAGTACTACTAAGAATAAGTTATTTCCATCTTCCGGAAGATCAGAATCTTTTTTTGAGATCTCTAAAGGAATTGGTGTCATATGTCCTGAATCCTTGGTTAGTTAATAGTATATTCAGTCTCTTTCAGGACTAGGGGGGCAGAGGATGAAGAAAAATATTTTGGGCTCTGACAGCCCTGTTTTGTAGTCTTTGGTCCATGAATGTGGTCAAGAAATAATAGAATAGGTCAACTTATGTACAATATAACAAAATTCTTAAATGCTTAACCTTACATATTTTTAGAACTTTCAGTGTGATACAATTCCATGATAAAAGATGTAGGATATGATCTAATAAGGACATTATAGGTTTTTAAACTTGTGAGCTTGATCATACTGTTGTTCTTAATTCCCCTTTGTTGTCCCATTTATCGTCCATAATCTTCCCATAGGGTGCTTTGGGCATAAATAAATATGTTCTTGGGGAAAAAAATGTCTTAAATATGGACTTAAACAATGGACAGAATTTTTTTTTTTTTTTTAATTTGTTTTAGGCAGGGTCTCAGTATGTGACCTAGGCTGGAGTGCAGTGGGTGCAACCTCAGCTCACTGCAGCTTCAGTCTCCCAGGCTCAAGCAGTCTTCCTGCCCCAGCTTCCCAAGTAGCTGGGCCTACAGGCAGCCACCACTACACCTGGCTAATTTTTTTTCTTTTTAGTGGAGATAGAGCCTCACTATGTCGCCTAGGCTGGCCTTGAACTCATGGACTCAAGCAATCCTCTTGCCTCTGCTGCCCAAAGTGCTAGGATTACAGACAGGCGTGAACCACTGGAAAAATTTTTATATGCAAGATATTTATCATGTTATTTGTAATAAGAAAAATTAGAAATAGCCTAACTGTCCCAAACTAGGAAGTTAGTTAAGTAAATTATATTGCCAGAATATATAATACTAATACCTACTTATAAAATTAATTCACTATGATAGTTAATAAGATGAGAAAATCTCTGATAATGTTGTTTGGGGGGGAAGTTATTAACAAAGTATATACAATACAATCTATGTTTTCTAAAAATTCATATGTCTGAGGGAGAAAAGACAAGAATAAAGATGTCAAAATGTTAATGGTGGCTCTTATAGGTGATGGGATTTGGGGTAAATTTTATTTTTCTTTCATTGCTTTTCTGAGTTTTTCATATTTATTATGATGAATACAATTAACCTTGAAATAAGGAAATAGGTACTTTTCTAAGTATTCTTAGTGCTCCACCAATTTTTATTACATTTTATTTTTATTTTTGGAGATGGAATCTCACTCTGTCACCCAGGCTAGAGTGCAGCAGCGCCATCTCAGCTCACTCCAACCTCCACTCCTGGGCTCAAGCAATTCTCCTGCGTCAGCCTCCCAAGTAGCTGGGACTACAGGCATGCACCACCATGCCTGGCTAGTTTTTGTATTTTTAATAGAGGTGGCATTTTACCATGTTGGCCAGGCTGGTCTCAAACTCCTGACGTCAGGTATCTGCCCACCTCTGCCTCCCAAAGTTCTGAGATTACAGGTGTTTGCCACTACACCTGTGTGGTGGCAAAACTACTACTGCTCTACTAAAATACAAAATACCTGTGTGGTGGCAAACTACTACTGCTCTACTAAAAATACAAAAATTAACCAGGTGGTGTACACCTATAATCTCAGCTACTTGGGAGGCTGAGGTGGGAGACTCTTGAGCCTGGGATGCAGAGGTTGTAGTGAGCCGAGATGGCGCCACTATACTCCAGCCTGGGTGACAGAGCGAGACTCCGTCTCAAAAAAAACAAATCTTACCTACTTGCTTTTAAATCCTTTTATTTCTGATTGTAGGCTTCTTATATTGGAACAGACTTTATTACATTTTATAAATTGATTTTATACATACTGCTTTCCCCAACCCATGTGATGTACACATAGCCTCATACCTTCCTTTTTACTCTTTTAACTTCTTTACAGTTGGATTTTTTAAAGGCATGATCCTCATGTCTATTCTGATTTGGTAACAAAATTGCCTTTTACAGGACAGCTTGCCTTGCAGCCGCAGCAGAATGATGGAGATCTAGTTTTAAAGGAATTGGGGATATTATTGAAAGTACATTAAGGTCAGATAAAAGTATATCCATATTTTCATGTTCAGCCAGTCATGCCCTGTGTTTAATTACCTGATGCCATTGTCGTTTATGATTGTTCAGCAAGCACACCTGACTGCCTACTACATGCCAAACACAAGATGTTAGGGAGATGAAGATAAAATTAAAAGCTTTACTCTTCCTGCCATCAAGATAATTTACAACTGAAAAAGTTATCTTCAATATTATTTCAGATTTCTCATTTAAAGGGAGAAAAGAGGGAACAGGAAAGTATGGGGCATAGAAGCAGTGTTTTAAAAGATAAATTGATGTTAAGATGGGGTGGTTTATTTTATAGTTACATATATTTAATCTTGACATAAGGAATTAAAACCTCTGTGCTATAAGGACATGAAATACTGTGTATATTTATCTTACTTAGAATTGTGAAAATTGGAACATTCTTCTTACCAGTAGCAGAGTGGTTGAATAAATTTTAGTGCATGTGTATAATGAGATTTGGATTCACAAACGTTATAAAAGAAGAAAAATGACCAGGTACAGTGGTTCATCCCTATAATCGTAGCAATTTCAGAGGCTGAGGTCGGAGGATCACTTGAGCTTAAGAGTTTAAGACAGCCTGGGCAGCATAGTGAGACCTCATCTCTTTAAAAAAAATAGGAGTGTGGTAGTGTGTTCCCGTAGTTCCACGTATTCTGGTGGCTGAGGCTGAAGGATTACTTAAGCCCAGGAGGTCAAAGCTGTAGTGAGCTATGATTGCATCTATAGCTAACCAGAAGCAGCATAGCTCTTTGAATCCCCAACTGTGCTTTGAAAATATGCTTGGGATAATACTATATGTAAAACAGTTTTAACCCTTTCTTTTTTCATTTAATATTACCTTTATTTATTTATTTATTTTAAGATGAGGTTTCACCATCATGGCCAGGCTGGTCTTGAACTCCTGACCAGCCACCTTGGCCTCCCAAAGTGCTAGGATTACATGTGTAAGCCACCATGCCCGGCCCTTAATATTGCCTTTTTAGCACTTTTTAAATCATTTTTCTTTTCTTTTTTTTTTTTCTTTCTCTGAGACAGGGTTTTGCCTTGTCACCCAGGCTGGAGTGCAGTGGCATGATCATAACTCACTGTAACCTTGAACTCCTGGGCTCAAGCGACCCTTCTGCTTCAACGGGGTAGCTAGGACTACAGTCATGTGCCAATATGCCTGGCTAACTTTTTAATCTTTTGTAAGACAGAGGTCTCACTGTGTTGCTAGGCTAGTCTTGAACTCCTAGCCTTAAGCAATCTTCCTGCCTGAAATTTGTAAAAGGCTATGTGTTAAATATAAATTTTTTGTGGAGTTATATCAATATTGAATACATTTGCTGGTATTAACTCAAATTTTAGTTTTCCATTTACTGGAATGTGCAGTGTCACACTTGAAATTACTGCAGTAGTTTAAAGAACCTAAAGTGTGAGGTTTAAATGGTATTGAGGGGCCAGGTGCAGTGGCTCACTCCTGTAATCCCGGCACTTTGGGAGGCCAAGGCATGCAGATTACTTGAGTTGAGGAGTTCAAGACCAGCCTGGCCAACATGGTGAAACTACTACTGCTCTACTAAAAATACAAAAATTAGCCAGGTGGGGTGCTATGCACCTGTAATCTCAGCTACTTGGGAGGCTGAGGTGGGAGACATTCTTGAGCCTGGGAGGCAGAGGTTGTAGTGAGCCAAGATGGCGCCACTATACTCCAGCCTGGGTGACAGAGCGAGACTCCGTCTCAAAAAAAACAAATCTTACCTACTTGCTTTTAAATCCTTTTATTTCTGATTGTAGGCTTCTTATATTGGAACAGCTCTTGGACCGTATAAAGCACACAAAAGGAGCTCGTCAGCAAGTGGTTCAGTTACATGTTGTTTCTTCAGTTTCTAGTTTTTTGAAGGTAATTTTTTTAATTTAAATATTTGTTTAATTTTCTAAAAAATTTGTAGCCAGTGAAGTTTATCAGAGGACAATATTTTTAAAATGCTCTTTTTTTCTTCATTTTTGTTAATCTCCTGATTAACAAAAAGTTTTCAGGATTTGGAATTCTCTTTTTACTTTTTGTCCACATAAAGCTTGTTAGAAATCAAACCTATAATCTCTGCATAGAGCCATGGATTATCCTACTGATCCTGATATCCTGAGCCAAGGATTGATGGACTATAGCCTATGGACCAAATCCAGCTCATTGTTACACTTATGACTTACCATCTCTATGTACAGTAGAATATAATAGACTTTATTAATCACTTACTTTATGGACATCTCTGTTAATGTTCTTTCAAGGACATTTATACCTTAATGATAATTGATTGCCATATTGCTGCTGGGAGGTATAAAATTCTAAAGTGCTTTGTGAAAAAAATGAAATTATATTTATATTAATTGGTGTGGATTTTTGTGTTCTGATTTGTTTTTAAGTAGTAATCCAAGTATGAACATATTTAGATTTGGTTAACCAGAATATACCTTCCAAACTGTATATGAGAATTTACTACAATTATAAGTTTGGGTTGTTCTTTACATATTTCAGTATGTGGCTGGCTCCAAGGGATGTTTAGGTCCAGAAGAAATGAAAAGATTTGCACTAACATTAGTTACAGGAGCCCTAGAAAGTCCCAACGCCTTGCTGAGATGTGCAGCTGCAGAGGCATGGGCTAGATTAGCCCAAGTGGTTGATGATGGAGCTTTTACTGCTGGATTAGCTCAAGTTAGCTTTGACAAGTAAGTGAATTTCTTATTTAATACTCAGGGGCTATGTTTCAAAACTGGGTATAGCTTGCCGGTTTGTTGGAACTAGTAAGGTCTTCATTGCGAGATTTAAGAAAAAAAAAAATTGACAGATGTTGACTGCTTTAAATAAAGAAAAGAAAAATTGGCCTGCTGGTCTTGACTCATAAAAAACTATTGCTATTTCAGCTGTAGTCTTTATATAATAAGAGAAAGATCAGTATCTATATAAATGATATAATCGATCATCAATGGAAAGGGATCTAGGATAGTGAAATATAGTTTTATAGCATAAAATATATATGATAAGTACTAAGAACAAGCTATAGGAAAAGTAAAAGGCTGTAGGCTGCAGATCAGCAAACATAAACTATACTTTCTTTCTTTTTTTTTTTGAGACAGAGTCTCGCTCTGTCACCCAGGCTGGAGTGCAGTGGCACGATCTCAGCTCACTGCAACCTCCACCTCCCGGGTTGAAGCAATTCTTCTGCCTCAGCCTCCTGAATAGCTGGGATTACAGGTGCGCACCACCATGCCTGTCTAATTTTTTGTATTTTTTTAGTAGAGACAGGCTTTCACCATGTTGGCCAGGCCAGTCTCTAACTCCTGACCTCATGATCTGCCCGCCTCAGCCTCCCATAGTGCTGGGATTATAGACATGAGCCACTGTGCCTGGCCTGTACTTTTATCTCTATCAGATCTATAACTTTCGGTAGGTTACTTTATCCTCTCAGCCATTGTTCCTCTATTCCAGGAAGTACTGCGCTACCTACTTAAAAATGTTAAGGTAAATGAACTAGTAAATATTAAAGTAATATGGGAAAAAAGCCTACAAATAAAACTTTGTGGTTATATTAGTTATATATGTATAATAGGTTATATTAGTAGTGGTGGTAGTAGTACTGAAAGCACTTTGACGTTGGAGTCTACTGAATATGTGTGTCTGATTTGAAGTCTGGAGTCAGGTTATTAGCTTGGCTGTAATCCCAACTCTACCATTTAATAGTGGGTTACTTTGTGAGAGCTACTTTAGCTATCGCTTTGGTTTCCTCATCTATAAACAGGAATGAGAATAATAGTATGAACTTCAGGGTTGCTGGCGGTGGGGGGGGCGGTGGGGATTAAAGAAAGACTAAATGTAAACCACTTAAGTGAGCACACAGTACATAGAAAATTCCTAATAAACGTTAACTTCTCTTACATTTATTTTTATTTATTTATTTTTGAGACAAGGTCATCCTCTGTCACCCAGGTTGGAGTACATTGGTGTGATCATTGCTCACTGCAACCTCAAACTGCTAGACTCCAGCAATACTCCAACCTCAGCCTCCCAAGTGACTAGGACTACAGGCTTGTGCCACTGTCCAATTAAGTTTTAAAAATATTTTTTTTTTTGAGACAGAGTTTCGCTCTGTCCCCAGGCTGGAATGCAGTGGCGTGATGTGCAAGTGATTCTCCTGCCTCAACCTCCCAAGTAGCTGGGATTACAGGCATGCGCCACCACACCCAGCTAATTTTTGTATATTTAGTAGAGACAGGGTTTCGTCATGTTGGCCAGGATGGTCTCGATCTTCTGACCTTGTGATTCACCTGCCTCGGCCTCCCAAAGTGCTGGGATTACAGGCGTGAGCCACTGGCGCCCACCCCCAAAACCTTTTTTGATAGAGACAGGGTCTCACTATGTTGCCCAGGTGGTCTGGGTTAAAGTGATCCTTCCGCCTTGGTCTCCAAAAGCACTGGGAGTACAGACGTGAGCTACCACACCTAGCCTATTTAATTTTAAAATCAAAGTTAAATTGAAACTCTATGAAATTAAAGTATCTCAGCGTTTGAGTTTTTAAAATGTAACTTAATCATAAAGTAGTAATACTTGTCTTAAAAACTTTGCACACATATATATGAAAGACATTGAAACTGTTCGTACTAAGCTAACCATTAATAATATAAAGACATTTTGATTCAAAATATTTTCCTTTGCAAGATGCCTTTTAGGTTAGGTCAGAATTTTTCATTAGTTAGCTGAAAATATATTTCTAAATTTTATAACTATCCATATAAAAAGTTTTGCCTAAGTGACAGTGTACATGCATTAGCTTTTGTGGGTTTTTTTTCCTTTTGCAGTGATTGCAATTTTTTTTTATTTTCATATTTACAGATTGAAATCAGCAAGGGACGTGGTTACTAGGACAGGATACTCATTGGCCTTGGCGTCCCTGCATAGGTATTTAGGAGGAATAAGTTCTTCTCAACACCTAAATTCTTGTGTTGGAATCCTTTATACTTTGGCTCAGGACAGCACTTCTCCTGATGTGCAGGTGGGTACCTCATGTGATACTTCCCTTGAAATTCATGATTTGTAGATGATGCAGATTATATTAACCATTAATATGATGGTCAATATATTTGCAATATATTTGCAAATTTGCAAATATGGTTTTCCCCCATAGTAAGTGTCAAAGCCATTGTTAACCTTGATGGATTTTTTAAATTAAAATCTTCCCTCACATTCAGAATGTCTGTAGTCAATTTCAATGTGTTTTTCTGAAAATGTGTCTCTGTTCCATCTTAATAATAGCATTGAGCTGGGCATGGTGGTTCACGCCTGTAATCCCACAGTTTAGGACACCAAGGTGGGTGGACTGCTTGAGCTCAGGAGTTCAAGACCAGACTGGGCAACATGGTGAGACACTGTCTCTACAAAAGATACAAAAATTAGCTGGGCATGATGGTGCACATCTGTGGTCTCAGCTACTCAGGAGGCTGAGGTAGGAGGATGGCTTGAGCCGAGGAGACAGAGGTTGCAGTAAGTCCAGATTGTGCCACTACGCTCCAGCCTGGGCAACAGCCAGACCCTGTCTCAAGAAATAATAATAATAATAATAGCATCTACTATTTTAAAGAGCTTAATAGGTACCAGGTGTTATGATACATTCTTCTAAGTCTCATAGTCATTCAGTTAGTCCTCATAATAATTTATTGGGGTATATAGTCCGTTATGGGGAAATAAAACTGAGGCTTGAGAAGCTAAGCAACTTGCTCACAATTGAAAAGCTAATAAATCATGGAATCAGATCAAGAACACAAGTCATAGACTCCAAACCCCTGTTCTTAACCACTTTACCACATCATTGTACATATCTGTCAATAAAATCATCATTCTCCTATCTTAATCAAATATGGAATGAATTTTATTTCTCCTGTTCTTTTACTCCCCCTCTGTCATCTGTCTCCCTTATTAATGTGTGCCACATTACTATCATAGCTTCCGAATTAGTCACATTTTTAGGTTCTTTTCTAACTCTCTCTAGATAAAAGGCTAAATTCATTTTCCTACAAGATTTTCATCTTGCCACCTTCCTGCAGAAAAGCTTGACAAAGGGCTTATTGCTTCGTTAATCAGCTTCTTTATGTCAGTCTCATCAACTGACCCACAGACGTTTTCTGTTACTACCTCAAACTATTGACTTCTCCTACAGAAGATCTACCCGCATGTCATTCCAATGTCTACATTTACATTATTTTCTTTTTCCTTCTCTCCTTACATGCCTGTTTGATATTCCACGTTTTAGTCTTTTTTTTTTTTTTTTTTGAGACGGAGTTTTGCTCTTCTTACCCAGGCTGGAGTGCAATGGCGCGATCTCGGCTCACCGCAACCTCCGCCTCCTGGGTTCAGGCAATTCTCCTGCCTCAGCCTCCTGAGTAGCTGGGATTACAGGCACGCGCCACCATGCCCAGCTAATTTTTTGTATTTTTAGTAGAGATGAGGTTTCACCATGTTGACCAGGATGGTCTCGACCTCTTGACCTCGTGATCCCCCCGCCTCGGCCTCCCAAAGTGCTGGGATTACAGGCTTGAGCCACCGCGCCCGGCCCTAGTCTTTTAAGATCCAGTTTAGCCAGCATCTCATCAAGTTTTAATCCAGTTAGCTTTCTCTCTCTGAATTACTATATTGCTACTCACCTCCTCCACTTCATCTAGTACTTGACTGAATTGACTTACAAGATTTCCATTTTTCACCCATCCTTAAATATAGTACTTTTTGCTTCTTATGTTCCTCTTCTCTCCCTTCAAGAAGTCTGTTCTGAATGCACATAGTTTTATATTTAATACCTTTTTTGTTGATTTAATTCATATACTTCTTTCCGTGGCTGCCAGTGTCATCAATTCTGAGTTTTCTTGATTGCTCTCTCTAACAAATAGAAGCTCATTTTTGCAGCGTTTAAACTACTATAAGCGTTTTGCACATCCGTTGATAAGAGGAATAAAACTTTTTCATTTGCTGAAAGGAAACCTTTTAATTTACTACTTGTTATGGAACATTCAAACATAAAGTTAGAAAGTCTACTATAATGAAACTATTATACTCATCACCTAACTTCAGTGGTTATCAGTATATGGCCAGTCTTTTTTTCATTTAAACCAGAGACAAAGCGTGTGTGTGTGTGTGTGTGTGTGTGCGCGCGCGCGCGCGCGCGCATTCCTGTCATAAATGTACATACCTGTGTACAAACAGAACTTAACCATCACCTGAAATCAAGAAGCAGTCCATTATCAATACCCAAGACACACTTCTCATACTGTCTTCTAGTTAACTATCTGCCCCCCACCAAGGGTAACCACTGTTGTAATTTGCAGTAAATAGAATAATACAACATATATTCTTTTATGTCTGGCCTTCTTCGCTTATTATGTTCAAGTGATTTGTCCATATTGATGTTTGTAATTATAGGTCTTGTTGAATCTTTTTAAAGACTTGAATTTTCATTCTTTCTATAGATGAAACAATTATTTTAACAAACTAGAGTTGATTCAAGCTCTTAGCTAAAGTACCAACTATTACTTGGAATTCTTAATGGTGAACAATATCTATATCATTCTAAATTGGATGATTGCCTCTGAGTTGGAAGTCCTCCATTTCTCTTTCCACATTAGTAGTAGCATACACATTTGCTGTTACTTTATCACTTACTTCAAAAGAACAATTTGATGTATTTTATGTTTCTTAATGCTGCTGTAATGTTTTTAATTGTTTTTCTTTGTCATTACAGACCTGGGCATTACATTCTTTGTCATTGATCATTGATTCTGCTGGCCCACTCTATTATGTGCATGTGGAACCTACCCTTTCTCTTATTATAATGTTGTTGTTAAATGTGCCTCCTACTCATGCTGAAGTTCACCAAAGCCTTGGTCGCTGTTTGAATGCCCTTATTACCACGTTAGGTCCAGAGCTACAAGGTGTGCATAGCTGCTTTTGTGATGTTTTACATGAAAAATAATACACATAAAAATGAATTCAGTTCCTAGTCTGTATGCTTGGCACGTGGTAGGTGCCGTATGGTTAGTTAAATGAATGTATAAATACCATTTAGCCTGATTTCTCTTACTTTGAAAAGACAGAGTGCAATATTTAGGCAATTACATATCTCCTAAAGATGCCTTCCTTAACAGTTAACATGACAGAGATGAAGCAGAATCATCCAAAGAGCTCTGATCTCTATTTAAGAAGTAATCCAAAATTTCAAATATTCTGAGTTGTTCAGATTAAATAGTATTGCATGATTATAATACGTAAAAGTAATTCTTAACTAATACAAGGCTAAGTTTATTGGCAATTTCTAATTCCACTTTTTATGAAAATTTGGTATAACCTACTGATAGTCATAGGTTCTTTTTTGCCTAATAATTTGTGTTGTGATAAACTTTTCCAATTAAGAATAACTAAAGTAGGCCAGGTGTGGTGACTCACGACTGTAGTCCTAACACTTTGGGAAGCCAGGGCAGGGGGAATCACTGGAGCTCGAGAGTTTGAGACCAGCCTGGCCAACATGGTGAAACCCCATCTCTAATAAAAATACAAAAAATTAGCCAGGCATGGTAGCGTGCATCTGTAGTCCCAGCCACTCAGGAGGCTGAGGCAAGAGAATCACTTAAACCTGGGAGGCAGAGGTTGCTGTGAGCCGAGATGGCACCACTGCACTCCAGCCTGGGCAACAGAGTGAGACTCTGTTTCAAAAAAAAAGAATAATAACTAACGTAATCTAAAAATCTGTCACTTAGATTATCCCTACTTTTGTAGAAGAAATTGTACGTCACAGATTCGTAAGCTTAAAACCGGAAGTAAATTTTAAAACCTCTAATATATGTTTAAAGAATAATGATTTTATAGGCCAATTATTAAAAGCTTTCTTCTTTTTATTTTAGGTAACAGTACTTCAATTTCTACCTTAAGGACTTCCTGTCTACTGGGTTGTGCAGTAATGCAAGATAACCCAGATTGCCTTGTTCAAGCTCAGGCCATCTCTTGCCTTCAGCAGCTTCATATGTTTGCTCCACAGCATGTCAACTTGTCTAGCCTGGTTAGCTGCCTCTGTGTGAGTATAAAATTGTAAACATGTTCTTAGCTACTTTTATTTGAATCTTAGATTTATTCCAGTATACATTTTAATTATCCTCTAAACTATGTACAAAGTCATATGTTATATACATAGCTATTTTGCCTCAGTTCTAGTCTTTTTGGGGATTAGGGGGCAGCTTTCATGTAATCAGCTCTTAAATCTCTCTTACATTAATTCATTTTTCTCCCATTAATGTTGAACTTAATATTTGGAATATTCATAAATCAATAAACACATATTGAGTGCTTTTAAGGTCCCATGTACGGTGTAAATGCCGTAGGACATGCGAAACTTTATATGGTCACCTATCTTTTTTTTTCTTCTTTTTCATCTATTCTGTTATTACAAAGTTCTTTACATCCCTGATGGAGAAATAACACTTTTCCTTAATATTTCAGCAACATATGCATCAATATCTGGCTTCTAATATTGTATCTACTGAATGTAGGAAGATAAACCAGAGGTTCCTTAGAAGTGATTTATGGTCATTGGTTTTAAGATTTCCCCTGACTAGGTGCAGTGGCTCACGCTTGTAATTCCAGCACTTTGGGAGGCCAAGGCGGGTGGATCACCTGAGGTCAGGAGTTTAAGACCAGCCTGATCAACATTGTGAAACCCCGTCTCTACTAAAAATATAAAAATTAGCTGGGTGTGGTGGCGGGCACCTGTAATTTCAGCTACTCAGGAGACTGAAGTAGGAGAATCGCTTGAACACAGGAGGTGGATGTTGTAGTGAGCAGAGATCGCCCCATTGCACTCCAGCCTGAGCAACAAGAGTGAAACTCCATCTCAAAAAGAAAAAAAAAAAAAAGATTTTATTTTGTCACTAGTTTCTATCTGGACTTGCCTTAAAAATTGAGTTGCATTTGGAATTATAAGTCAGCTCCATTGCTTTTCAGCTTTTTCTACTCCTACAGGGTTCATGTCACACTCCCATTAGTAACATGACTTGTTAAGAATCATTATGTAGACCTTTCATTTTCAACCTCGAAGCAAAATATGCAGCATTTCAGAGCTTGGAAGAACCTCAGAATCTTAAAAATGTGTCACATAGATTATCCCTACTTTTGTAGAATGATGTTTGCATTATTAAAACCAGTCTTCCCAATAAAAGATAAACTGAAGACCAAAAAATTAAAATAACACATCTAGCACATCTAGGTGGTGGCTAAGTCTAGGTTGCAGGTTTCTGGATTCCTCATCCAGTCCTCATTTCATTATTCCATACTGCCTTTCCAGATTTTATGGATAGACTTTATCTCAACTCTGCCATCTCCTAGCTATGTGCCTTTAGGGAAGTCCCATGATCTCTTTTAGCCTCAGCTACCTTGTCTGTAAAACATGAGGATTACACAAAATGCTGCTTGTAAGGGCACATATCACAGGCTTTTAATTAGTACTCAATAATGGTAATTGCTTTTGCTGTCTTGACATGTGCCTTCAACACACAGTATATTAATCATCATATTAATTATTGATGCTGATAGTCATATAACACTTTATTTTTTTTTAGAGAGACAGTCTCACTTTGTCACCCAAGCTGGAGTGTGGTGGTGCAGTTACAGCCTGTAATAGCCTCAAACTCCTGGGCTCAAGTGATCTGCCCCCCTTAGCCTCCCAAGAGCTGGGACTTCAGGAATGTACCAGCACAGCTAGCCAATTTTTTTTTTTTTTTTTTTTTAGAGACAGGGTCTTGTATGTTACCCAGGCTGGTCTTGAACTTCTGGCCTCAAGCCATCCTCCTGCCTCAGCCCTACAAAGTGCTGGGATTACAGGCATGAGCCACCATGCCTAGCCCAATAAAACTTTAAAAAGAGAATGTGACTGACTTCCCGACAGAAAGTTTTGTTCCTGTGTTTTTTAGATCTTGGTCAATCTTGTATTAGGGAAAACAGCACTTACAGGAAAAGGATTTTACCTATACCATTCAGGGACTCTTCTCCAGAAATATTAATTTTTATATTTGAAGAACCATTACTAAAACTAGTTATTGAAAAAGTTTTCACTCCTTTGCATGTTGATCTTTTATTCTCCATTTAAATTTAGTGATACTGCTATTTTTTCCTCTTATAGGTTTCCATTAATTACCTTTAAATTTTCTTTACCTGATACATGAATTATTTTATTAACTAAAGTTTATTGATAAATGAAGAGCAAGACTAACCCATTAATTCATGATAATTAAGATCTGATAAGCTGGGCACAGTGGCTCACACCTTAATTCCAGCACTTTGGGAGGCCAAAGTGGAAGGATCATTTGAGCCCAGATGTTCGAGACCAGCCTGGGGGACATAGTAAGAGCTTGTCTCTACAAAAAATTTAAAGAAAATTATCCAGTCATGGTGGTGCGCACCATGTAGTCCCAGCTACTTGGGAAGCTGAGGTGGGAGGATCACTTGAACCCAGGAGGTTGAGGCAACAGCGAGCCATGATTGCATCACTATACTCCAGCCTGGGCAATGGAGCTGTCTCAAAAATATAAATAAATAAAATCTGATCAAACTCATTAACTTTTTTTCTTTCCCAAATCATAAAAGGGTACATATTACTGCAGGAAAAACAAATAGGCATCAAAAAAGTTACATATGAAAAAGAGATTATTATATTATCAGACTTTTCTTTTGGGTACATCCAGAGCAAGTGAGAAAATCTGAAGTAACAGTTACAAATCTTACTCATGTTAACTCATCATATTCAAGGTGTAAAATGATTTCTTAATACACAATCATATAGAATAAATTACTAACCAAAATATTGAGACACTAAATTGACATAGTGATAGCAATTAGTAATTTATTCTGAATTTATTAGGTTGAATTTATTATATTTTAGAGTATTCACCAAAGTAAGGAAATTGCATTTCATCATTAGGCAAAAGTCTTACTGGAAAGTATTTTCTTCTAACTGCATGCTCTTTGACTTTCATTCTGAACTTGGCCTTAGCTACACTTGCAATTCTGAATACTCTTAGTTTTAAAACTTGGCTTCTAAGAGTTAAACTATAATTACCTTCTGATGAGGTAAACCATTAACTTTGCCTCTTGTTGGACACCTGTTCATGTGAATGCAATCCAGATCACTCCTCTCATACTTACGTGTACTTAATTTGGTTTGATACTGAGGCTTAGTCATAGATTCCAAAGGAAAACCTAAAATTAATCACATGTACATTTTAAAATTATATGTCTACATCTTGGAGTTCTTGAGTTGACTATTTTCAAGAACTTGGCTTAACTCATTTTGTTAAGTTGGAAAATAAAATATTTGTGGCAAATTTTTAAGCTGAAGCTAAGCCAATTTGAATGATAACTATCAAGATTTATATTTTAATGCTTAGCTGACTGTTGTCAAAGTCATCCTATATCTTTTGGTTTTGTCATGACTGGTGTGTCATTTGTTTTTGTGCAGGAGATCTTGTTGGATAATTCTGTGTTGGTAGGTCCCTGACCCTTGATTCCTACCTTTTTTTGAGTTTTGTGGTGCTATTTTCTTGTGTCATTTTTTGGTTGTAGATGTTTGTTTTCTTCTGCATCTCTTTGTTTAAGCGAACCATTAATGCTAAGTCCAATATGTGTAGCATGTTTCGTGGTGTTTATTTGATACCAGTATAAGCAAATCCTTCCTAACCTTCTCCAGCTGGTGCTCTCACTCTTTGTACTAAATTTGGTATCATCTTGATTTAATATATTAATTTCAGAAAATGATTGTAGTTATAGTTTTACTTAATTTCTGTATTTTGCCTGCTTTCTTTGTTTGTCTTAAGCCACTCTATTCCTCTTTCCAATATAAATGCTGGAGAATGACATGGAGACCTTAATCCTCCCATTTTGCTTTGTGTGAAAGCCTTCAATCTTTTTTCTACCAAACAAGTAAAGGGTACTTCTAAGCATGCTTTTTCTAAAACATGTTTGACTAGCCTGAATAAATGCTGCACCTGCTTTGTATCATATGCTTGTGAAACTCCAGTTGAAATAACTAGTAGATTTATTTTCTTTAGAATTGTCTTGCAGTGTGCTTTTTTTGTCATTGTTCTTAAATACAACAGTAATCTTGGGCACAAGTAAACTTAATCTTTTTATATTTTAACTTCCCTATTATCCTAACCTGCTAACAATATGATTTCTAAACATGGGAATAGATTGTACCTTGAGACTTTTCTATAAATGGCATTCCTCTGTATCCACTTTTGTTCATAGTACAGCTCGAAGGTATAATAGAACATACTTACAACACTGTTCCTGCACTCTAGCCTGGGTGATAGAGTGATACCCTGTCTCAAAAAAAAAAAAAAAAAAGGTGTTCAATGATAATATATTCACAGTTTTTTTTCTGGTTGTTTTTTTTTTTTTTTTTTTTTGGCTTCTGATAAAATGTAGAATTTGTCTTTGCATGTGTTTCTTCTTATATATTCTTTTTTTATTTTTATTTTGAGACACAGTTTCACTCTGTTGCTCAGGCTAAATTGCAGTGGCATGATCTTGGCTCACTGCAACTTCCACCTCCCAGGTTTAAGCAATTCTCCTGCCTCAGGCTCCCAGTAGCTGGGATTACAGGCATGTGCCACCACACTCAGCTAATTTTTGTATTATTAGTAGAGACAGGGTTTGACCATGTTGGCCAGGCTGGTCTCGAACTCCTGACCTCAGGTGATCCACCCATCTTGGTCTCCTTCAGCATGAGCCATTGCACCTGACCCTCTAACTCCTGACCTCAAGTGATCCACCTGCCTTGGCCTCCCTCAAGTGTGAGCCATCACGCCCGGCCCTCTTCATATATGTATATAAAAAATAAAATATATATATATATATATTTATATTTAGACAGTGTCTCACTCTGTTGCCCAGTCTGGAGTGCAGTGGTGCAGTCTTGGCTCACTGCACCCTCTGTCTCCCAGGTTGAAGCAATTTTCCTGCTTCAGCCTCCCAAGTAGCTATGATTACAGGCACCTGCCACCATGCCTGGCTAATTTTTTTATATTTTTATTAGAGACAGGGTTTCATCATGTTGGCCAGGCTGGTTTCAAACTCCTGACCTCAAGTGATCCGCTCACCTCAGCCTCCCAAAGTGCTAGGATTACAGACGTGAGCCACCACGCCCAACACTTTTCTTATATATTCTTAATAGTTCCTACCACCTTTTATTTCATCCCAAAATTTAGCCTCTGCTCTTTACAAAATTTCAGTCCTATTTTTCTCACATATGCCAAATCTAAACATTGCTATAGAATTATGCCATTATTTCTCAAATTTTACTTTGAAGATCACTATCAAAATATACATATTTATTTTGTAGACTGTACCAAACTGATCTTTACTTTCATAGTTAGTACAAAATTAATTTAAAATCTCGTCTTTATTTCTTAAATGAAATCACTAAAAATTTTTATCCATTAACCTTCAACTTGTAACTGAAGTATATTACCAGTCTTATCATTTGCCATGGGTAGATACAGCCTATTGAGATTTACATTGCATCTGTAAGATGTGTACATATATGTATTCTATTAATACATAAATATGTATGCATATATATAAAATTTGGTGTTCTGTAATGTTTGTTTCTAGAGAGTATTTTTGGTGAATGTTTTCTGCCTTTATTTGAAAATGCATCTACTTACTCTATATGTCATCTGATTAAAATATTATTGTTAAGAGACTGCACTAATAATAACTAACATTTATTGAGCATTTACTATTTGACAGGTACTATGGTAAGCACTTTGCATGTTACTTTGTGTTAATATCACAGTAACCCTGAGAGATGTGCTAGTGTTACAAATGAGGAAACTAAGGCACTATAGAGAGGTTAAATAATTTGCCCACAGTCACACAGCTAATAAATAGTGGATCTAGGACTCAAACTGAGACATTTTGACTCTAGAATGTCCATTTTAACCAATATGCTGTATTGCCTATATGGATTTGTATAAATTTCTGCTTAGAGAATGATAAAACATTACAGTATAGTTGCATGAACACAAATGTATGAAATGCAACTAAATCCTTAATGTTGTAGTTCTTTTTTTCTTTTTTTTTTTTTTTTGAGACGGAGTTTCACTCATGTTACCCAGGCTGGAGTGCAATGGCGCGATCTCGGCTCACCGCAACCTCCGCCTCCTGGGTTCAGGCAATTCTCCTGCCTCAACCTCCTGAGTAGCTGGGATTACAGGCACGCGCCACCATGCCCAGCTAATTTTTTGTATTTTTAGTAGAGACGGGGTTTCACCATGTTGACCAGGATGGTCTTGATCTCTTGACCTTGTGATCCACCCGCCTCGGCCTCCCAAAGTGCTGGGATTACAGGCTTGAGCCACCGCGCCCGGCCTTTCTTTTAAATTTCTGTTTACTCATATAAATTCTACCTTCTGACCCTGATCTTTGCTTATATTTATGAGTAGTGCATAACCTAGTACACATATTACCTATGCCGCTGTTTCTAAGTTACATAATCAGAAATGTATTCTAGCATAGTTGTAAGAAGTTCCTATTTATGCATAAATTGTGTCCAGCCTACTGATGTGCTGGACAGAATCAGGAATGGGTCCAATGAATATTTATTACACTCACTCAGTGCCAACAAGAATTTTAGCTCTGTCATTCCTCAAATGTTATTTTTCAGGTGAATCTTTGTAGCCCCTACTTGTTACTGAGAAGAGCAGTACTGGCTTGCTTACGTCAGCTCGTACAAAGAGAAGCAGCTGAAGTTTCAGAATATGCTGTTATGCTTGCTAAGGATAGCAGAGAAGAGTTGACTTCAGGTAATATCTCTTGATCAATATTGTGTCCAGCTCAAATGATTTTTTTTTTTTTTTTTTTTTTTTTTTGAGACGGAGTTTCGCTCTTGTTACCCAGGCTGGAGTGCAATGGCGCGATCTCGGCTCACCGCAACCTCCGCCTCCCGGGTTCAGGCAATTCTCCTGCCCCAGCCTCCTGAGTCGCTGGGATTACAGGCACACGCCACCATGCCCAGCTAATTTTTTGTATTTTTAGTAGAGACGGGGTTTCACCATGTTGACCAGGATGGTCTCGATCTCTTGACCTCGTGATCCACCCGCCTCGGCCTCCCAAAGTGCTGGGATTACAGGCTTGAGCCACCGCGCCCGGCCTCAAATGATTATTTTTATCTTAAAATTTCCGCATACATATGAGTTTTGAAACAATTTAAAAGTTAATATGTAATATGTCTTAAACCTGCTACAGGGAAGAATTGCTGTTATTCCAACCAGTGATATTACTGGTTTAGAGCAGTGGTTCTCAAGCTGATTTTCAAACCAGCAATGTATACCTCACCTGGGAACTTGCTAGAAATGCAGATTATTGAGACCCATCCCAGACCTACTGAACCAGAAATCTGGGAGTATTACCCAAAAATCTGTATTTTAAAATCTATATTTTTATTGTCCCTATGTTAGTACAGCTGTGTGCCACATAATAGCATTTTGGCCAACAACAGACCCCATATACAACAGTGGTCCCATAACATTATATCATATTTTTACTGTACTTTTTCTATGTTTTGATACACAAATGCTTACCATTATGTTGTAGTTGCCTATAGTGTTTAGTACAGTAACTTGCTCTACAGGTTTGTAGCCTGTGAACAATAGGCTATGCTATATAGCCTATGTGTGTGGTAGCCTGTACCATCTAGGTTTGGGTAAGTACACTCTATGATGTTCACACAACAATGAAATCGCCTAACAACACATTCTTTAGAACATAATCCTATTAAGCCATGCACAAGTCTACTAAAGTTTGAGAGCTACTGATCTAGAGCAAGTTTTGTCACAGCAGTCAAATGAAATTGGATTAGCTCTTAAATAATTTATCACACATGCCTCTGTTCACTCCAAAATCTCACTTTCATAAAATTTATCATATACGAGTCTGTTACAAGCTAAAGAGGATTTTTTAATGCCTCTTCCTTTACATTTTAGAGCTGAATTAAAGGCTTTCTTAGCCAGTAAGATTTAAGTGTGTATCACTTCATTTTAAAACTATTATATGAATAACCTGAATTTGCGGATGAATTCAAAGAAACTATTAGCCTACAAAAATGGTAATAATAGGCCAGGCGTGGTGGCTCATATCTGTAATCTCAGCGCTTGGTAAGGCCAAGGAGAGAGGACTGTTTTAGGTCAGGAGTTCAAAAACAGCCTGGAGGCCAGGCACACTAGATCATGCTTATAATCTCAGCACTTTGGGAGGCCAAGATAGGTGGATGACTTGAAGTCAGGAGTTCAAGACCAGCCTGGTCAATACAGTGATACCTCTTCTCTATTTTTAAAAAATTATATATACCTATCTATAAAAAGAATAGCCTGGACCACATGGTAAGACCCCATCTCTACAAAAAATTTTAAAATTAGCCAGGCGTGATGGTGCACATCTGTAGTCCCAGCTACTAGCTAATCAGGAGGCTGAGAGAAGAGAATTGCTTGAGCCTAGGAGTTTGAGGTTGCAGTGAGTTATTACACCACCACATTGCAGCTTGGGTAACAGATCAGAACACTGACTCAAAAAAAAAACAAAAAACATAAAGTAATGTCTTTCACTTTGGCCGGGTGCAGTGGCTCATGCTTGTAGTCCCAGTACTTTGAGAGGCCAAGGCAAGCAGATCACCTGAGGCCAGAAGTTCGAGATCAGCCTGGCCAATGTGGTAAAAATCTCGACTAAAAATATATAGCTGGGTACGGTGGCATGCTCCCATAGTCCCAGCTACTCGGAGGTTGGGGCACAAAAATCGCTTGAACCCAGGAGGCAGAGGTTGCAGTGAGCTGAAATTGTTCCACTGCACTCTAGCCTGGGCAACAGAGCTAGACTCTGTCTAAAAAAAAAAAAAGTAATATCTTATACTTTTGTTTGTAAAGTTTTTATTTCAAAGTACTGTCATACTTTTAGAAAGTCATAGACTTCATAGAGCTTTTCAGTATCTTAAGCTTCTAGATTCATAATATATTTTACTGTCAGTAATCTATGCTTTTTAAGTAATGGTGTTATTCTTACATTAAAATGTATAGGGAGCTGGACCAGATGTGGTGGCATGTACTTGTAGTCCCAGTTTTCTGGGACTGCAAGACTAAGGCAACAGGATCACTTTAGCCCAGGAGTTCAAGGACAGCCTGATCAACATAGTGAGACCTTGTCTCTAACAAAAACAAAAACTTTTGCTTCAACTTGAATTAATCGGCATGGCTGGGCTGCTATACAAGCATACCTAGGAGTATTGTGGATTTGGTTCCAGACCATGCAATAAAGCAAGTCAGGAATATTTTTGTTTCCCAGTGCATATCAAAGTTATCTTTGTACTATACTATAGTCTGCTAAGTGTGAAATAGCATTATGGCTAAAAAAGCGGTGTATGTACCTTAATTTAAAAATCTTTACTACTAAAAAATGCGAACCATCATCTGAGCCTTCAGTGAGTCATAATCTTTTTGCTGGTAGATGCTCTTGTCTCGGTCTTGATGGCTGCTTAATCATGGTGGTGGTTGCTAAAGGTTTGGGGTGGCTGTGGTAATTTCTTAAAATGAGACAGCAATGAAGTTTGCCATGTCCATTGACTTCCTTTCATGAAAGATTGCTCTGTAACATGCAATACCTTTTGATAGCATTTTACTTACAGTAGAACTTTGAAAACTGGGTTAATTCTTTCAAACCTGCTACCTGTTTATCAACTAAATTCACGTAATATTCTGAATCCTTTGTTGTGATTTCAACAGTGTTCACAGCATCCTCACCAGGAGTAGATTCCATCTCAAGAAACCATCTAGAATGATAAATCCTTTCCAGAAGGTTTTCAGTTACTTTGCCCAGATCCATTGAAGGAGTCACTGTCTGTTGCAGCTGTAGCCTTACAAAATGTATTTTTTAAGTAAGAGAACTTGAAAGTCAATATGACTTCTTAATCTGCAGAATGGATATTGTGTTAACAGGCATGAAAACAACATTCATCTTTTTGTACATCTCCATCAGAGCTCTTGGGTGACTAGGAACATTGTCAGTGAGCAATAATGTTTTGAAAGGAATCTTTTTTTTTTTTTTTTTCTGAGCAATAGATCTTAACAGTGGACTTAAAATATTCAGTAAACCCTGTTGTAAAAAAAGATATGCTGTCATCCAGGCTTTGTTTGTTTGTTTGTTTGTTTTTTAATAGAGTACAGGCAAAGTAGATTGGGCATAATTTTTTTTTTTTTTTTTTTTTTGAGACAGGGTCTCTCTGTTGCCCTAGCTAAAGTGCAGTGGCACGATCTGGACTCATTGTAGCCTCTTCTTTCCAGGCTCATGTGACTCTTTCCACCTCAGTCTCCTTGGCAGCTGGAACTACAGATGAATGTCAACACACCTACCTAAGTGTTTTTTTGTGCTTTTGTAGAGATGGGGTCTCATTGTTGCCCAGGCTGGTCTTGAACTCCTGGGCATAAGTGTTCTACCTGCCTCAGCCTCCCAAAGTGCTAGGATTATAGATGTGAGCCACTATGCCAGCCGATTAAGCATAATCCTTAAACCATGGGATTTTCGGAATGGTCAGTGCACACTGGCATTAAAGTCACCAGCTGCTTTAGCTCATCATAAGAGAATGAGCTTGTCCTTTGAAGCTAGGCATTGGCTTCTCCTTTCTAGCTATGAAAGTCCCAGATGGCATCTTCCAATAGAAGGCTATTTCATATTCTTTGAAAACCTGTTGTTTTAGGCCCAGCACTGTGGCTCACACCTAGAATCCCAACAGTTTGGGAGGCCGAGGCGGGCAGATCACTTGAGGTCAGGAGTTCAAGACCAGCCTAGCCAACATGGTGAAACCTGTCTCTACTAAGAATACAAAAATTAGCTGGATGTGGTGGTGGGTACCTGTAATCCCAGCTGCTCAGGAGGCTGAGACATGAGAATAGCTTGAACCCGGAAGGCAGAAGTTGCAGTGAGCCAAGATCACACCACTGCACCCCAGCCTGGGTGGCAGAACAAGACTCAGTCTCAAAGAGAAAAAAAGAAGATCAGTTGTTTTGGCCTTAGCTAGGTCTTCTGGCTAACTTGATGAAGCTTCTACATTAGGATTGGCTGCTTTATAAACTTGCCTTTTTTTTTTTTTTTTGAGATGGAGTTTTGCTCTTGTTGCCCAGGCTGCAGTGCAATGGCATGATCTCAGCTTACCACAACCTCTGCCTCCCAGGTTCAGGCGATTCTCCTGCCTCATCCTCCCGAGTAGCTGGGATTATAGGCATGTGCCACCATGCCTGCCTAATTTTGTATTTTTAGTAGAGATGGAGTTTCTCCATCAGGCTGGTCTCGAACTCCCAACCTCAGGTGATCCACCCGCCTTTGCCTCCCAAAGTGCTGGGGTTACAGGTGTGACCTACCGCACCCGGCCTTTATCTTGCATTTTTATGTTATGAAGACAGCTTATTTCCTTAACCCCATGAACCAGCCTCTGCTAGTTTCTACCTTTTCTTTTGTAGCTTGCTCTGGATCTGGCTCAGTGGCTCAGTGCTGTGGCTGATTTGAACTTTTTTTTTTTTCTTGAGATGGAGCCTTGCTCTGTCACCCAGGCTGGAGTGCTGTGGCACAATCTCAGCTTATTGCAGCCTCAGTCTCCCAAGTAGCTGGGATTACAGGTATCTGCCACCACGCCTGGCTAATTTTTGTACTTTTAGTAGAAACAGGGTTTCACCATGTTGGCTAGGCTGGTCTTGAGCTCCCGACGTTAGGTGAGCCACCCACTTCAGCCTCCCAAAGTGCTGGGATTACAGGCGTGAGCCTGATTCGAACTTCTGT